ACTCGTCGGAGCTCGTCGGAGCTCCTCGTCGCCGGCGGAGGTTTGTTTCCACCCCCAATTCTAACATTATTGGTATCTCAATATTTGGTATAAATTTCCCTATCGTGTTCTACAGAGCACAATGTAGGCGAACTCGTGGGCAAATTAACAAACATAACATTGAACGAGTCATCTTAATAGTACATCATAACACAAATTGTAAAGTTAAATCATTATGTATTAAGATTTATAACAATTACAAATTAAAACATTATAATATTACTAAAAAGCTTGGTTATTTTATTGTAAAACACTAAAACATAGGCTAAATTATACTTAAATACCCTAGAGTTTTATTAACCTTGTACGTGAGTGAAGTGATTTCTATTTTAAGACCGTACACTTAAATGTCCTAAAGTATTTAAGTGTTACAAATTAATGCCCCAAAGTTGTTGGTGCCCTCGTGTTTATGCAATAGTGCACGTTAGTGCCTTCTTATTTACTCAATGTTAATTTGTAAATGAACTCACTTAAATACCCTAAAATTTCTAAAACTATCACTTTAGTATTCTCTGTTACGTGATATTCTTAGATACGTAGAGAAAGTTAACGCTGTCTGGAAATCTTTTAACTACATGGGCATTCATTTGCAACATTGAAAATTTTTGCAGCACTTTTTTAGCTCAATTTTAAAATAAAGATTACTTAAGTGCAAGATTAGCGAAACTCAAGGCATTTACATGCAATTTAGCCTAAACATATAACCCCAAACTGCGAACATCCCACGCACATCGTAACGACAATTATTTACACGTGCCTTTGTCTCATTGGTTTTCCACGTCAATTTCGCGTCCGCGTTATAGAGCCCGATCGTGACTAATATACATAATAACCCCCGATGTTTTGTCGACTCCCTCAGGATTCTTCTGGGCGCTTGCCTCTCTTTTTCTCAACGCGAAAAAGGGCAGAAAACTCCGCTCTCTTCTTCGATGGCCAAATCCGCTCACCGCCTCTTCCTAATAACAATAGCCCTAGCCTCGCTTCTCTTCTCTTCCGGCGCCGCGCTGGCCGCCGCGGCGGCGGAGAGAAAGCGAACGTGAGTTCGCTGGGTGGGATCTTTTGGGCCACCGGCAAAGACGAGAGCGATCTCGTGGCGGCATTGGAAGCGGAGGATCCCTCGGCCGTCGATAGAGACTCCGATGAGCTCGCCGGCGGCTTCTCGTCCCTCGATAGCATGCTTCAGTGGGCGATAGGTAACTTTGGTTCCCTATCCTCTTTTTGCTTTGGTTCAGTAACGTTTTGTCAAATCTTTGTAACTGGCGATCTTCTTTCATGTTATTGCGCCTTCTTTGTGATTATTAAGCCTAATTGAGCTATTGTGCTCGCTTTAGAATGTTCATTTCTCCTCTTTATATGTAGGACAGTGGAGAATTTCAAGTAGGGCGCAATTAGTGTATACTTTTCTTTTAGCATGATATAAAAGAGAACACCATATTTAAAATTATTAATCCACGAATAGTCTCAATGTATGAAATTGTATTAATCTATAATCTATATAAAGTTCTAGTCAAGGACGACATGAAGGGTTTGAGAAATAATCTATTTTCTAGATGGCTAATTAGCACTTGGAAACCTTATAGTTTCACCTATTTTGCACTTATGTACCCTCAGCTGCATTCCCTAAAGTTTCTAAAATTTTGCACTTTAACACCTTCTGTTACGCAAACGTGAGAATTTTTCTCCAAATCTTGACATGTGATACCCACAAGCTAATTTTAGAGCTTTAGCCCTTAATATTTGTTGAATATTCTGTTAATTCCCGTCATAATTCTATTTAGAATATAATTGGGGTAGGTTCAACTTAGAATTATAGTTGCTTTTGTTTTGCTGTTTGTGATGCTTGCGCAAAGTAGAAGAAAGTATTTAAGTGATAGTTTTCCTTTCTAAATTTGACGTAGGGGAAATGACCTACCTAAAATGAGTGTGGCTATGGACCCGTGGTTGTGGGAAGTTAGGATGTTATGGACTGACAAAAAAATGGGTTGCGTCCCCAGAGCATATTCTACTAGAGGGGCTGCTAGGTTAGGGAGACTGGGGACTGGTCCAATCTAAACCTCTCTGTCTGAAGTTTAATTGAAGAACGAAGTGCTGTAAAAAAATATTTGACGACTGATTAGAGTGTACCTGGTTTAGGTGTCACTTTGCCATTCATACTCTCATAGTGGGGACATTTTTATCCATTCCTCCTCCAGCATGGATCTGTAAAAGACCTTACTTTCATTACGGTTACAGTTATGTCATGGATGATCTTATGGTTCATTGGAGACTTATTCCCATTGGGAGATGTTAGTTGGGTTCTCAACTTCTCATAGTTTATGCATTTTTGTGACACTATTGATCCGGGTTTGTCTTCTCTTGGATTTGAAGATATTTGGATTGGTTCTTATTTATGGTGCAAAAGGGTTACTTCTTTCCTTTATGAACATAATGCATAGATTACTTTGCTTTGGAATCGCAAGACCGCACTAGGGTGTTTTCTACTTGGAAAAATCACATTGATCATATTCATTTTATAGGAAAGCAAGGAAGTTAACTGGTGATTTGAGAATTAAGATCTCCAAAAAAAAAAAAAAAAACTCAATTAGCAAGGTGAAGTGTATCACGTTATCTTATGTCAGTTTACAGCTTCCTTCAAACATACAGATTCAGAAAGACATTCGGATTTACATGTGGTGGAGCGTGAACACTATCTTAATATTTCTCTATAGCAGTACTAATCCCATAAAAATTTGCCTCCTACATGCAACTTATGATCTCCCATCTTATGAACCCTGTTTCTTTTGAGGCTTTAAAGAAACATGCCTTTCTATTGTGGACCATGAAGGAGTTGTATGTTAATATGATCTCTTATCCACCATTATTATTGTATATTAATATGATGTCTTATCCACCATTATTACACATAAATAAGTGAAAATTTTCCATGGTGACACTATCCATTTGCTTATCTCATTGGTAAACTAGAAGCGCCTTTTCTTGCAATTTTCTTCTCCATTATGAATGTAAGTAATCTGGTGTCAACATGTTACATCTCGCTAGCTATATTCCATCTAACTATATTTTGTTTATAGTTATGTTTCACTTTACTGACTTTTGTAGCCCGCTACTATTTGTTTTTATTGAGGTACACACATGCTCTCTCTTATCTAAAAGGATAATAAACATATTCAAACCAAAAACATTTGCATGTTGTAGATATTAATACCCAAACAAAGTTTTTCATGTCTTTTCTTGTATATATGCATTGTAATGATAAAAATTCAATATCAATGTTTAAATACCTTTTATACTAACATCATGTTGTGTGGCTATTTATTTAGAACTGAATCTTTTTGTGTCTTGTAGAACAGTATATGAGAAGCTCGTTTACATATTGTTTCTTCATTAGTCAATGAAATTTCTATCTCATTAGGTCATTCTGATCCTGAGAAGTTGAAGGAAAAAGCTAACGACGTTCAAAGACTATCAACAAATGAACTGAAAAAACGCCAATTGGAAATAAAGGTAAGAACCTAGTTTCATTTGTATTTATCTTATGGTAATTTGAGTTTTCCACGTATAGTTCATCTTGCGTGGCTACAAGAGAAGGAAGGTGTTGGGAGGGGAGTATGAGGACTAGTGTAGACACATAAGGCTTGAGATAGAGCGGGAAGGTTGATAGGATTGATGCCCTGGGTTTCTATAATTAAGAAACTTTGGATATAGAAAACATGAAAAATAGACTTTTTATCCTAGCCTCCTAAGCATAGTATTAATTGAATAAAGTTAAATGTAAGACATTGATTTTTAAGTGAAGAGAAAGAGATGCTACAACTAATATAACATACTATTCCAAATAATACAAATCAGTAGTTTTGATAATAATCATTCTTCATTGACAACTTGGATTAATAGCTATAAATGCGCCTATCAACCAAGTCATTGTCAAACTACTATTAGTGCATTAAATATTAACTTCTTAGTGTAGGATACATGGATTAGACACGTGATAAATAATCCATTGCTATGAAAATTATTTGGGTGATGAACAATTTTAGGACTTTTATTTGAAATATTTGTTTGAAATTTTGCCTATATGTTCACGAAATCAAGCCGTCAAGTTGGGTTTTTTTAATTTGATATATTTTGAAAGGTATTATAAATTAAACCTGAATCTTTTTGAGTTTAGGGTCCACTTTTGTTGGATTTGTTTTGATAGTCTTGACTTGTGAACATATATTTATAAACTAAAATTTAACATAAATTATAGGGCTGTCAATTTATTTCGGACCAAGATTCATTTGATCCAGATGTTGGTCCTATGGAGTTTCTAATATAACTAGTTTCAGACCTGTCGATGCACGAATTTGTATTAAAAATATTATTTAAAGTTTGAACAATATAACATATAATTATTACACTCATAAAACTAAAGCCAATTTTAAAAAACTTTTGCTTTTAGTTGTTTTGTCAAAGTTTGAGCGCTTCTCAAAATGAAGAAGATGATGATGGTGAATGGATCTAAATGAAGAGAAACGAAGCTTTTCACATCGATTTAGATATGCATAAGTATATTCAAAGAAACTCAAGCTAACAATTTTTTTCGAAATCAAATCTTATTTTTTTTAAATAATTGTTTGAGAGAATGTTAAAATAAAATTTCAAATCAAATATCATTGACTTAGAACCTCAAAATATGCAACCAAGTTGTGTAACATAGAATTACAAGCGAACCATACATAACTAAAAATCAATTTCACAAATTTTATATTTTTAGGTGCTTTGTCCAGGTGGTGTTTTGTCAAAATAAGAGTTATTCTCAAGAACATGACAAGCAATATATCAAAATGAATGGTAACCATAACATTTCACATTAAAAAATAGCCCAAAATGAGAATTAGTTATATCAAGTACTTATGAACATATGAATAACGTACTTTAATTTCGATAAAATAAGATTTTAAATCAAATGCATCGATCTGGAACTTCAAAATTTTCAACGAAGTTGTTTAACATATGTTAAAATAAACTTTCAAATCTAAATTTAGTCTTGTATACCAAAGTGACAATGAAATGCTGAAATTTAGTTGTTACAATTGATAATGATGAAAGATCTAAAATTTGGTCATCAGAACTGATGTTGATGAAATTTGATATATTTTAACTAAAATTTCCTAAACTACTGACATTACTTTGACAAAATCACATGTTTTTTGTGAAAATCAACCAAAATAATCCATTTTAAATCCAAAAGAAACCGATAACAAACTTCATTCAAATCCGAATGTCCGATTTTAAAGGATTATGAAGCTTATATGTACCGAGTGTCCTAAATTTTGTGTAAATAACCTACTCAATGAAAAAATCTTACCTAAAGAAAGCAAAATAATTTAAATAATTTTCATTCGAAGCTTTCTTCAATTGGAGCAGCTCAAAAAAAAGATGCATTATCCCCTAAAATTTCAATTCAAAACAATAAAATTTACCTTAAAATCTGAGGGAAAAAAGAACTCTACTTACTCAAGGTAAAAAAAAGAGAGATTGCATACTTACTTTATCTACAGCTGAATTCAGCTCCTAGAAAACAAAAGAGAAAAATAGGAAAATTAAATTAAAAATAGAGAAGAGCATACTTCAAACATACTATTAAAAATCAACACACAAAAAACAAATTAATTTTTCTCCAAAATAAAATTACCTATAAATATGCTTCAAACAATACTTACTCTCTTCATTCATAGTAAAAGCTATAAGAATGAAAAAAAAAACAAAAAAGAAGCCAAAAGTGAGTAATGGTCAGTCGTAGAAAATAACTTAAAATACAACATTACTTATAAATCTAATAAATAAAACAACATAGAATGAGCCAAGGGCATTTCACTTCAACTCAACACATCTAACCATTTTTTCCTAAATTTTTTGAAATAACAAAATAAATAAATAAATATCCAATTCATACATGTCAACTTCATACTCTTCACAAAGACAAAAAAAAAGCTATAGTCAAACATAAATCAAATTAAGAGCTTCATACTTACAATCTCATAAAAAAACAAATAAAAAGCGTATGGAATATCAACCTTGGTATATGGAGACTACATTCTAAGAAAAGTTAGGAAAAAGAATTTTTTTATTCGTTTTAATATTAGATCAATGCGGACAGAGAATGTAATGCTTTTAACTAATTAAAATATGTTTCTAACTTTCTATTAATAGTTTGACAATTAAATTGAATGAAAGATATATTTGTTTTGGGACTAAAAGTTATTGGATTTGGTTTATTCAACTACTAAAATTTAATATCCATCTGTATCATGCTTTATAGATTACCTTAGATACATGAAAATGCATAGCTATTTTCTTTTATGAGTTATAGAAAGTTCCTTAAGGAAAAGGTGTAGCGTTTTAATAGGTCTCTGCAGGAGGGGGAGCAGGACAGGAAGGATGTGGAGGCCATTGTCAAAATTGCCGGAACAAAGTAGGCCTTTTAGGCATTCAATAGTCGGGCGTACTGGCGGTGTTGTGGTGGAGGACATGGAGTCTAAGGGTGGGAGGTAATGCAGGGGGCAAAGTGAGGTTGAAGTATGGGATTATAATGGTTTGGAGGCAAAAGAAATAGGATTTGAATTGTGCAGTTGGTGGAGTAGGGAGATTTGGTCAGGGAGGAGGTTTTCGGAGAGTTCTAACCTTTTGGGGGTTTTCAAGTGGTGCCGATGATGGACCGATAATAGGGGTCTGTGAAGGTGAGTTTCGTCCAACCATTGGGATAATGAGCTATTGAGGTTCAAGTGACAAGAGTCATTTGTAATGGTCTAAGAGAACAACAGAGATGACGATGAAGATGAGTTGAGAGGGGGAGTTGATTGGGTAAGAATTAAGGAGGAAAATTGTAAGAGATTAAATTTGGTCGCATAGAGATCCAAGAGTTTTATTAGGACGATGAAACGGTGCTAGTTTCAAATTTATTCCAAATCTTCCGAGATATAAAGGCTAAATAGAAATTAAAATACATAAAGGCTACTTGCTTGACATTTGGCTGTTGTAGCGGTTTAGTAATAGAGATAGATTTTAGACTAATACCTAATAAAGTAGTACTCATCCAAATTTGACCTATTTGCACCTCATGTTCATAGTTGACATGTTCAATTAGTGGATTGGCATCCAATTTCTTTGTGCGTGGATTTGATATTCTTGAAAAGTAAAGAGCGTATTTCTGAACTATTTAACAAATATTTTGGGTCTTTGGAATTTTTATGATTCTGGACCTATACTTAATTACTTATTACATCAATGTGTTGTTCCTTCGGAGTTTCAAGTTAAAATGTTGGACCCATACACAACCTACATTGATCTAGACCAAATTGGATAGTGTTTTATCTTTTTGTAGACTATTATTAGATTTATTATAAAGATATAACGTTTGAAATATAATTATCATCTTTAATAAAAAATAAATTAATTATAAATTTTTTGGAGAGATAAGGTGTCAATATTTCATAGAACATGTCTAAGTAATATTATAATATCTTGGACTTCATTGCAAAGATTCTCATATATAACATTGATTTATAAAATCATATTTCTCCGTTAGAGAAGTACTGTTGCACAGAGTGGATTTTGGGTTTTTTTTCCTTTGGGGGGTGGGCGGTGTTGGGGGGGGGGGAGGCGTGGTGGTGGCAGGTTTTGGGGGTGTGCTGGGGAGATATTATTGTGGACTTTGATCGAAGAATTGGCCACAAAAGTATCAAGATTACCAAACTTTTCCTCAATTCATAATTGATGAAAAAAGGTGTCCACATTTCTTCAAACTTTTAGTACCCTCACTTTTTTCTTCATAAAGAATAATAAATTTGGAAAGTTATTGTGTACTTATTTCTGTTTCCTTTCATTTTTTAATCTTTTAGAATATCTACATGTCTAAGGTTTCACCATCTCACCATTGACTATAGCTAGCATTAATCAATCCAACTCTTCAATCCAAAAAGTTCTATAATTCTAGCCTCAACTAGTAAGTTGAGGAGATGAATATTCCATTTTATATAAATGTTTATTGAAATGAACCATTTTTGGACGGTAGGATACATTGCATCAAGAGTGCAACCTCTCCATTAGGAAACCCATGATGAAAAACTGAAATATTGTACTTAGCTTCTTTTCTTTTTATTCCGAAAAAAACACAAGTTAAACATTGTGCTAGTTGTGTGAGCTCATCATATTTTTCCAGTTAAGGAATGTGCATTTCTTTAAAGTTAAAGAGTAAAAATGATGGCTGTATGAGTTACACATTTAAGTTGGCAAGTAGTATTCTGAAAGTGATGTTTATTCTATGTTTTTTTTTTCAAAATTTCATGGTCATTTTCTCCATGTTCGTATTGGATCTTCAATTTTAGGAACCTTCCTAGTAACGGTGTAGTATGCTTAAGATGAAAAGTTACATGTATTTGCGTTTCTTGAGCATGTATATACTGAATGATATATTGGCACTGACCAAGAGGGGATTTAATAAGGTAAATCTAGTTGAATAAAGCTGTGATTAATATTACAAATAATCATTTCTGTTTCTTCACATGAAGAGTTATATGTTACATCTTGAGACTTAGTAGTAGAAACTCACTCTCTCATAGGAAGAGTTTTGTGTTGTACAAATAGTTCCTGAAATTCTTCTTCACATTATGTGGACTCAACTAGTTTAGGGAACTTCTCAGTTCTTAATAAATTGTTGGGTTTTCTCAGTGTATGTGCAGGTGGTCTCTGTTATCTGTTTGTGTGATGTTCTTAATCATATTACAATTGAATGATATTTTCATTATTGTACTTCTAATAATTTTTTTCAGTCACTTATGCTTTAAGAAATTATTTATTTAATACAAATGCAGGAGTTGATGGAAAGATTAAAAACGCCATCAGATGCCGAGTTGATGAAAATAGCTATATCTGATTTGAATAATTCTTCATCTTCTGTGGAAGATCGGCAGCGTGCACTAGATGAGCTTCTGATTCTTGTTGAGCCTATTGATAATGCAAATGGTAACTTCAAGATTCTTCTCATCTCACAAAGTGTCCCTTCTTGACATCAATTTTCTTGTGTAAAAGGAATATGTATGGGAAAGTATTTAGCTTTTAAAATATGTTTCTTAGGTAGTTACATCTATTTTATTATATTTCCTAAACACTATTAATTAATGAGCAATTGGCATCTTGATTTGCTACCCATGCTTGCTTCAAAGAAGCAACATCCAGACATTTGGTGTAAGATTTTCTAGTATCTTATTGATCTAGCTGCTTTCTCAACTGATTTGATTTGTCCAGAACAATTTGTGTTCTTTATTCCATGGAGTTCAAGTAACTGAACCTTTGTTGCTATCACATGCTTTCTATTCAGAAAGCTTAATGATTTAGAACAAAATTGAATTGGTTTTTCAATTTGATTTCTTTAGAATATTAAATGGATTAGTTTCTCTGCATATGGATTAGTTTCTCAGGATATGTAGAAGTTTGCTATATGCTAATGATTTAGGTGTGGGATAACAGCTAGAGATGGAAACTTGAGAACTAGTTTGCATCAAAAGTTGGCTGTCTAGGTTTACAGTAGGCAGAAATTAGAACGATGATACCAAGAATGGATATCAAGTATTAACACTTTAACAGGAGGTTAGGGAATAAATGGTTGACTTTAGAAAATTGATTTTCTCTCATTTGATATTCTTGCATTCTACTTATATAGGTTGTGGTACCTCGTTCCAGAAACGTGTATTAAAGACAATAAAAGGATAATTGCACTCTGGGCTGTTGCAGCTTCCCTGGCTGTGGAACTATCTTGTAAAGCTCCTTGATTGACACATACATGTAACCTATATAAAATTGCCTCTTATCATGCCCCCAAACTATATGTTTTTAGGCTGTAAGAGACTTGTTTTTTCAAGTTATGATCTTCTAATTTCCCTCGAAAGAGAAAAGATCTTTCAAAGCTTTGTATGTTTTAAATCCAAAATTAAAGAACTGTATGTTGTCTTAAGCCTCCTACCTTGGGGTCCTCTTTCGTTTCTCTTTCAATATGGCTAATGTAATTGCTCATTCTGACTCAGTCATTGACAGACTTTGAAAGGACCGTGAAATTAGTTATAATTTCCTACCTTGGGGTCCTCTTTCTTTTCTCTTTCAATCTGGCTAATGTAATTGATCATTCTGATTCAGTCATTGACAGACTTTGAAAGGACCCTGAAATTAGTTATAATTTCCTACACTGACAATTCCTTTTGCTGCTGCATCATTACTTTGAATAAAGTCTTGCTAGTAACTTTTTTTTTAATCCTTCGGCAATCTCTTGGTCGCTTTAACATTTTCTTCTGAAAGCTTTCAGCAGCATGTGGTCATCGAGGGCTCAGAGTTTGGTTAAGCCATTCATCTTGATGGATTGTTAACATCCAAATAGATATAATGGAATTTTCTAGCTTTTCTTGTAAACTACAAAAATAGCTTTTCGACATGGTAGGTTGAGAAGCAATGCAGTAATGTACATAAAAGTCATATTATGAAGCTTGTGGTAGTTTTGACACAGGCTTGATATTTTCCTTCTTGAATCATTCTTTGCTAATTGGTTCTTTACCATAAAATTACCAGATCTTGATAAACTTGGAGGCCTCGTTGCTGTCATTCGAGAACTTCATAATGCTGAGCCAGAGATACGGAAAACATCTGCATGGATTCTTGGCAAAGCCAGTCAGAATAATGCCCTTGTGCAAAATCAGGTAGCTAATATTTTCTCAGCTACTAACATTTTCTCAGCACTATGATATGGAGTTATTTCTTTCTGATTAAGTGATTAGTAATGTGGTTTACATTTGCACAGGTAACTGTTTACTTTTTGCTGAAGTCTTGCTTAAATCATGCAAAATTACACATTTTCTTCCTTTTGCATTTCTTGTGTTCTATTGTTTGCAGTTAATATGTTGCAGTTAGCTGTTTACTCAAAGACATGCTGCATGCACCCCTTCAGCATGTTATACTCCATACTGCATGCATAATTTATTATCAAATGTTTTACTTGGTACATATGATGACAACTCTCTGGGTATTTGAGAAGATGATGTGATCAACCTTTTGATTTGCATTGAGTTTTAGTGGTTTATTTGATTCTGTAGGGTCATCTATTGTCCATTTCCACTGGACTTCATCCTGAAACCAGAGAATTTGTCTATTTGCTCCTAGTTTTTATGAAATGGGATTACCAGAAACTTAGAGATTTGCCTTTTACCTTCCTCACTTTCTTTATTGTTAGGTTATTTGTTTGCAGCTAACCACTTGGAATTAGCATTCACTCGCTTACAGATGATGTCAACTTAACAGTTAGTCATGAATTCGTCATTTTCTTTATATACAACTATGCAGTTCCCTCTATAGTAACCCTATCAAGGGATAGCTTGTGCCTTGTAGTAACCAGTGAGTTAGTTTTCTTTTAAATTGAGTGTTTGAGGGCAAACCAACCCATCCATCAAAAAGTAAAAGCAACTACTGATATTCACAATCAAGTAAACTGTGCAACCAACATCCTATGAGTGCACACAATACATAACTAGAGTATTACCATCAGATGATAGCTTGAACATGCAAGTGAGATATAGCATGCTGGAGAAGTTGATGTGCACTTACTCAAAGCATATTCATACACCATCAGGGTGCACAACTAGTCTAGTTGACTGGTACTTGTGAGCGTGCTACTTTTTCATCGATAGAAAGATTTAGTAGCTTTAGCATACAAAATATTTTGTAAGGACTGACCTAGTTGTTCTGAATCTTCTAATTATCCGTACTTAAAATAATAAGAGATTAATTAGGATACGAGATAAATCAGCAAATTTCTAAAAGAAAAGAAAATTAGACTGTCATAGCCTTAACAGAACTATATGATGGAGAAAGGTATCATGCTTTCGGGAAAAAAAAGTTACAGCTTGAGAAAAGACAAGGAATCACTACCTGAATAAAACAATTCATTAGTTTTCAATCAACAATTTTCATAACTTTAAGTACAATTTTTTTTGTCAGAAACTCAAATCTGCAAGCTAGACACTCAACAAGTTCAGTTAATTCGAATTTGAACTAACTAATAAGACGAACAAAATAAAATCTTTATTCTATTCTCATCTTGCGCTTATAGGTAGTAAATGTCAAACTATACACACTACCTTACCCTGTACTAAAACTTCCTTTGTGAAGCATTGGTATAGCCATGTCAATGATTTCACTGTAGATATGAAATTCACAAATATTGTGACATAATAAATGCTGAAAAACAGTGCATTACTTTAGAAGGATATATTGTACAAGCTCTTTTTTTAATGTTTCTGCATATTGATTTTTAACTTTTCTGGGGTGCAATTGATGAATATTTGGCTTGCTATGTGATTATTCTGATTTTATATTTTATATTTCTAATATTTCTCGACTTTGGATCTTTGTTCTTCTTTGCATGGCCGTTTATGCCTCATCCATCTCCTAATTACATTATTTTCTGTGACCTTGTCTCAGATCCTTGAGTATGGGGTGCTACAGATCTTAATCAAGATGGTAGGATCCAGTTCTACAGAAGAAGCCATAAAAGCGTTGTATGCCATTTCAGCTTTAATTAGAAATAATGAGCATGGTCAAGAATTGTTCTGTATATCAAAGGGAAACTTAATGTTACAGGTAGATTTTAAACTCTTTGGAACAATATGCATTGTCATCCTTGTTTGTGTTAGTTATAAGTACCAATCACCTCTGCAGGACATAATGAGGAACTCTAGCCTTGATGTGAGGCTCCAGAAGAAGGCTGCTCTTCTAGTCGCAGATTTAGCAGATCATCAGCTGCACAATGCAGAGAATATGAAACAGTCTTTTCTTAGCAATCATATCTTCTTGAAATCTGTTGTTGATTTGTTGTCCTCTGCTGATCTCGATCTTCAGGAAAAGGTACTTTCCACTTGCTTTTGTAGAGTTCTATGAGAAAAGGCTGCAACAAAGTCATGATAAACTGTTAAATATGATTTAACTTGATTTTCTGTTCTTTCATTATTAATATTGCTTGTAATCTACAAGCTGGTCAGTTAAGATATGGGAAAACATTAGTAGATTGTATGTCATCACATAACTTAGAGTTGTATACCCCGTGATGGCGCGATCATTATTACCATGTTAAAAATCTTGTTTATGTTTATGATTTTTCTGTGAATTTTCCATGATTATACGAAATATCAGCAATTTGATTATGAAGTGGAGAGTATAAGTAAATTGTACCTATGGAAATAATGTTGCATTAGAATTTGAAATATTCTTTGACCAACAACTGGGAAGAAATGATGAAATTACCATCATCTTAGATGTTTTACTGAATTCCAAGGTTGAGGGAAATTTTGAAGGATAAGTTGCCTGTTCTAGGTTTTTTGTGCATCCACAGCATAAACCTATAGTTTTATGCACGGTAGGAAACTCTTGGTTTTGTAGCATTAGTGTTCAAATAGAGGCCTCTGGCAGCTAACATGCTAATGTATGCTAACTTCATTTATATAACTGTACTTCGAAGGCAGAGGGTTCTTCTGGTAGTTTGTCCAAACTTTTGTGTTGTCTAAGAACTCAGTTTGATTGTACCTTATTCTGTAACATGTTTCTTGCATGGTTAATAATTGGGACTCCACAGTTTTCGCAATTTTTCTTCACCATGACATTGATCTGAGCTCTTAATTTGAGGTCCGTTCGATACTTAAGAAAGCTTGGTGAAAAGAATTGATTACAAACAAACAATCAGGGAGCTATTATTGTCATTTAAAAGCGGTCTTCTTGATGTATGAAACATTGTATCTTTGCCATCTTTTCATGCAGGCGCTATTGGCAATTAGAAGTCTGCTCCAGCTTAGCTATACAGATGCCTCAGATTTCAAGGCTTTTTGTGGCCTGGATAGGGTGTTGAATAGAATGAAGGAGCAATTAGAGAAGTTAAGGACACTGGAAGAACATAAAGATTATGCTAGAGAATTGGAAGGCCTTCGAGAAGAAGTATACACGATATTCCATCAGAAATTGGAGAAGGTGCGTTCTGAACTTACTTGATGGTAATTTGTGGGGGCTAATCCGATACTAAATTGATATACTATCACATGGCAGAGATCGTGGGTACCAACGTAACATTAATGCTGGGTTGTACACTTGGTTTTTACCAATACATGGTTTCATGTGTTTCCTGCAATTATCTCTTCGATGTAAATCCTGGATGAGGATAGTGTGGGATTTAGCCTGTGTATAATACTGCATTGATCATGAAGGCAGAAGGAGGAAATTTGAAGTTATGACTACCTCTAGATAGCTAACTTTATTTGCATGACGATGTAATTATTTGTTCCATATGTATCTGCTTTTGTTTTTCTTGATATTACCTTATGTCTGAACTAGGTGTGGTAGGGACTGTATCGTACTCCATTCTGAATTTTTGAAACAGTTCTTTTATTCTCACCCCTTTTCATATTTCTCGATGTGAATGTGTGAAGCGAGACGATGCTGTGGAGGCAATTTATTCTCGCAATAAAAGTCAAGAAATCGGTGCATGTTCGGTACTCCAATCTAGCGGCTCTTTGCTAGGCTGTTTCTGTTCTTGTATGTAGGAAATTTTGGTTTATCTACCTGCGTGTCCTCTACTAGAATTCATGTGATTGGATGCAAATTTGTCCATTGTAATGTTTTGCTATTGCAAACTCTTGATAGTCAATTCTTGATCCACTAAAACTCAATGGTCTTCTTATTTCTGTTTCCACAGTTGGCGAGGTCGTTAAGATGTTTTGAGTGATTTTTCTTTTGGCACCTCTCAATTCTTCATTGAATTTACATCTGTCGAAAAAGTTGCATGTTCGATCCTGAGCCCAAGCCCTGCTAGTCAACGTTAGAGAACTAATAGAGTGTTTGTATCTCGGTGTAAATTGTTTGGTAAATATCCCGAATATGGGGTGTCTGAACTCTGGCGACATCCTTCAAAATAAAGATTGATTTGTTTACTTATGATCTCCTCTTCCTTTGCGTTGATATTTTCCTAGAACTTGTTATCTTAGTTTTTCTGGCACGCGCTCAATTTATTTAACTTTGGTGCTTGCCCATGCTAGCCAATTAGAAGAGTGAACCGAAAACTGTAAAATGACTTTCTTTTCTTTTTTTCCTTTTTCCTCCTCCTTGTTTGGTACTTGAATAGGAAAGGAATGAAACATGATGAGTGTCACATAAGTCTTTTCCCCCAGCTCCTTTCATTTTCTAAAAAAATTTAAGAAAAGAACCGAAAAGTGAAGGGAGTAGACTGAGAAGTTGGTCCTCTTATTTTTTTTTATATCATCATTTCAGTTGTAATTTTTATTACTTTCTACTGTATATTTTCAATTCCAAAAATAACATGTCAAGTCCACTAATTGTCCCATTTAGAATCATGTAACTTCAAGGACAAATAACTTCTAACATGGTTGAGGTCATAGAAAGTTCATACTTCAAGTTGCCGGCCCTGCACTTGAGTTTTGAGGAAGAGGAAGTTGTTACCTTTCTTATTGTGATCCGTCGTGTTGTGTTTGGTTGCAGGGGCGGATCCAGGATTTCAAATAAGGGTTGTCATTTATCAATAAAAAAGTAAAGGAAAAAAATCAAAAGAAACCAATTTAAAATGTCAAATTTAAAAGACAAGTATCTAACTATTAATTACATAAAATGTCAAATTTAAAAGACAAGTATCTAACTATTAATTACATAAAATGTCAAATTTAAAAGACAAGTATCTAACTAACACCATTACACCAACGAAACATATTTGCATAATTTGTGTAATGGAAATGTTTGCAAAACAGCAACGTCAAGTCGTCAATCGTCAAGAAATTGAATTTTATTGTACCAGTTCCTATCAAGTATCTATGTAATAATTATTCTAATCAATCTTTAATCAAAAACTTTTTTAATCATTATTTTAATTACTATTCACATTCATGAGAAATTGAGAATTAAATCTTTCAAATAGACTAATAGAGGAAAAGTTTAAACATACCTGAAATTGGCTCAGCTTTGGACTGCTCTGATTTAATTTGTGAATATTTAGATAAGTTTATGGAAATTTAGGATTTCTAAATTTTAGAAGAAGAAAAATAAAAAGGATAAGGGAATGGTCTAAATTGAAGGGGTGAGGGGATGTGATCGTGATTCGTGATCAGTAAAGGAAGGGGAAAGGTGTCCCCGCTCCCGCCTCTTTTAGTTTTTTAACATGAATTGCCTAATTAATGAAAGGAATGAATAAAAAATTGAGGGTATGCAAAACCACTCGAACCCGCGACCTCTAATAGAAATTTTAAGAAATTTACCATCTCAGCTACATATTCATATTGTTTTGGGTTGTCATATGCATACTATGACAACCCCGTAAATCCGCCCCTGTTTGGTTATTAATTTCAATATATTTTTATTTATAGTGTTGTGTCACATTAAAGTTACATGTATTTTTGACATCAGCTTCTCATGTGAACTGAGCAACATGCTTCTTGGTAAAATTTTATGTCCTAATACTTTCCTATAATTTTTAAGATTGGAAAAGCTATTATTATTTGCTTAATTGCTATTTAGGAAGGTTCAGTTGCAGAATACATAAGAATGCAAAACAGGGATAAGATACATATCAAACAAAAAAGAGACTAAACTATCAATAAACATATACTCTGTTCTGGTTAGAACTTATATATTTTTGAAAGAGATGAATTATTGGGAACATCTTGGTACATATAAATTGTTGCCTAGTTAATATTATTATCATTATTCCAGAATTTGATCATGTTTGATAGTATAACAATACATTATATCAAGTTGTTAATTATAGTCAAGAAAGGATATCGAATCCAAATTCATGTGTAATAAGCAATCGAAACAATAGATCTGAAATATACGATTTGGAAGCCTTTCATCTAATAAAATTATCCAAACAAGTGATGTGTTAATATGTGGATTTCAAATTTTTAGATTTCAAATCCTTTGATTTTAAATCTATACTTCAAATCCAAATCTTATTTCTCAAACACAAACTTTGAAAACAAAAAATAGTGCAATGTTCTAAATCCTAAATTATGTTTGGTCATATATGCTTTTGCTAGTAAATCAAATGTATCATACTACAAATAGATTATAACTTTTTCAGGTGAAAAAAATAGAAAGCAATTTATTTACCTACTTTAATTGTCAAAAGAAATTCGTGATAAATATTCAATATTTATAATTCTCCACACGAAACTTGTTCAAAAAATAAATAATAATAATAATAACAGAATAAGAAAGAAAGAAAAGGGAGAAAAACGCTTTCTAGTAACCGTTTTTATTTTCTGATCCCATTCTGTCTGTCTCTGCGGCGATCCTAGGGTTCCTTTTTCATCCATGTCGCCATCCCAGTTGGAGGACGAAGAAGAAGTCGAGGAAGAGGTTGAAGAGGAGGTAGAAGAAGTCGAGGAGGAAGAAGAAATTGAATACGTCGAAGTCTCTGAAGAAGAGGAGGAAGAAGAAGACCAAAACCCTAACCCTAATCAGAAACCGAAGCCCTCGGTCCCCGAATCCATCACCAACCTCAAATCCCTCCACGGCGCTCTCTCCGACTTCCTCCTCGATTACAACTCCCTCCACCAAACCCTAGACTCCATCAATTCCTCCCTTGATGCCGTCTCCACCATCAAAACCCCCACCAACTCCTCCCTCAATGCCGTCAAAACCCCCGAACCCGAAGCATCTTTGCCGGTTGCCGAAAGGCAGGACTCCGAGGTCGAAAGCCTTTGCCGTTCCAACGCCCCCAAAGCCCTCCGCAAGTACATCATGACCCACTTATCCGAGATTGATCGCCTCCGTCGGGAGGTCCCCGAGGCCCTCAAGCTGGCCTTCGTCCCTGAAAAATTAGTTCTTGAAGCAATGGGCAAGTTCTATTTGCAGGGATGCAAGGCCTACGAACATGGAGATTCTAATGCCATTAATTGCCGTCGTGCTGGGATTCTACTGCTGGAGTTCTATTTGATTGCGGGGTGTCCTGTGGCTTCGGCATCGTCACAGTCAGTTAAGGGAGGCGCTATGGATGCTGCAATTTCATGGAGGAAAAGGATTATTAGTGAGGGAGGGATTGAGTCTGCAAGCGCTGTGGATGCTCTCGGGCTTGTTCTTCTGGTTGCGGCCTTCGGGGTGCCTGTAGAGTTCAAAGCAAAGGAACTGTACACTCTTCTGAGATTGTGTAATTTGGCGAAGAATGGGGATGTTCTGCGCCGCTCAACCATTCTTGTTCAGAAGGTTCAAGGTAATGCCCGTGGCTTTTTTCTCTTGGGGACTTGAGCCTTCGTTCTTTCTTTAATATGGCTATCCCAGCATAGTTCATACCGACAATAACAACAACAATCACCAAGTGTTTATCCCAAACTTTTAGGGTGGGTCACTTTAATCATAGTATTTAAGTTTTTATATTGGGCAATCTCTTCCGTTAAGTTAAATATTACCATATCCTTATGAATGGCTTCCACCTAAGTTCTTTTAGGTCTAGTTCTAGATCACTTTACCCCATTAACTAAATTATTACACTTTTCTCAACCATGACAAAACCATGTCAACTGATTCTTCCTCATTTCATATGCGATAGAAGTAGCACCTAATCTTCTAAGGATGTACATTTCTTATATATCTCCACAAGACCATCTTATTCTTATTTCTGCTGCAATCTTTTTGTAAATTTTGGCTTAACTGTCCCGCTTTTTGATCCATAAAGCATTGTTGGTCTTATAACTTGTCTTATAAAAATTTCCTTTCAGTCTCATTTGTCATTCAATTCTTGCTTTTGAACAAAGGATACAAAAGTGCAAGTGAAAATGAGTTTGTTATTCTCGCTTCATATCAAGGTTACCAAAAGCGCTAGGCATCCTAGGCGTTGGACCTATGCCTAGAGCCTAGACACCTAGGCGGTTTTCATTTTTTAATTTTTAATTACAATATTAATAGTCTACCAATGTTATAGAGAGCTTAGTTGTCGGACTAGCGCCTAGGTGGATTTTCTTTTCCGTTTAAGTGGTAATGGCGGAGGTTTTTCTAAAGGTCAGAGGAGATGTTCATAATTGGAGGTTAGAGGAGATGTTCATAATTGGAGGACGTGGAGGTTGTAACGGAGGAAATAACGATCAAGACCTAAAGGTTTCAGTCCAATAGGCAGATTGCGCTATCCTAGAAAGTCCTAAGACCTAAGCAGACATCCTAGGTACCGCCTAGGCATAGGCGTATACCTAGGCGGGCAAGCCGGAGGCTTTTTAAAATATTGCTTCATATCCTTTTGTTATTCAAATATAAGAATGAGAATAAGCATTTTTTTTATCATATTTATTCCATTCCATATCTTATTTCACTCAATTCTCACTTCACTATGTTATAAAAAAAGATGCTCATCCCTTAACTCTTCTTTGTGAATGTTTATTCTGCAAAATGTGAGAATGAGGATTCTTTAGAGTAGGGCATTCTGACTTAAGAAAATGCTCGCGTTTGGTACGCAAGAATGGGAACTTGGGATAGACATTTTATTCTAGCCCGTGTACCAAACAAGATGTAGATAGTAGAGATGTTAGAATTATTGCAAGGAATCACATTTGACTCTTGCTCTGCAGATTAGCCAAATAGGAAAAAAAACCTCATTCCAATCTTTTAAATAAAATAATAATTATTGCAAAGGACAAAACTATGTGAACTGGAGAGGAAAGTGAATGTTCTATTTATTAATATTCTTAATAGCATACATGTGATATCCTCTATACACACACATGAGTTGTCATACAGGATAAACAGGAGCGGTTACATAGAAATGAATAATGATAAGTGATCAAAAGATTAAGAACAATAATATTTAATAATATCATCTAATAATATTTTACATTATCCCTCAAGTTAGAGCGTATATATTGTATATGCACAGCCTGTTAGGCTGTTACTCATAGCAACAAAATAACTAGATGAATGAACTTTAACAAAATAGCTAGAAAAGCATAATATCAAGAATAAATATATTCTCAACCAGAGATAACTTGAGCTAGTAAAATCGTATCGTGATTAGAAGAATAATCATTACTTTTGTGTTCAACAATAGACATCCAAAGTAGTAGTAAACAATCATATCAGTAGTAAGAGATTCTTGACATAGGAATTAAGTTTTATATATCCATGTCAAGTTTAAAAAGAAACCCGAGGCGAATCAGCCAGTAGAAACTCTATGCGGGTTGGCCATAAAAGATCATAGGGAAGTCAACTGAAAGAAATATTAGGCGGGTCAGCTAGAAAAAACGTTAGGCGAATCAACAAAAGAAACCCAAAATGTGTCACATAGTAGAAATCTTGAGCTGGTTAGCCAATAGAAACCCTAGGCGGGTTTCTAGGAATTTCCTTGTTTCCTTTAGTGGGGAGATTTTTCTTGGCTAAAAATTTCATAATCTTTCTATGATTTCAGATTTTACATCAAGCACAAAAATTTTTAGCAAGTCTTTTTCAACTATATAAGCATGAATTCTAGCAATTGGATCTCCAAGAGAAAGTCTAACACAACACAATTCAAGAATAAAATCCTTACCCAGCTAATGTATAACTGTTACCATGGTTTTAAATATCGGTCGATAATCCGATATTATCGCCGAGTTATCGGATTTGGGAGCTTTCCGCTAGGATAAGTAGGATTTTTAATCGATTATCGTTTTTGGAGGTTTATCGGCGAGTTATCGGCGATAAAGGCACTTATCGGCCGATAAGTAGGCTCTAAATATCGGCTTTATCGGCCGATTTAGGATTTGGGAGCTTTTACTTTCTTTTGAATTTGCTCTTCAAATGTTTACAAATTATGAGCTATTTGTTGCTTTTGGAAATTGGTTGATTGGTAATTAGCTGATGTTTGTTTATGGATATTGATAATGGCTCATAACTACTAAATATCAACTTAGTAAGTTAGTTCATGAATCTCATGATTAAACAATAATTATGTAGATACGTAGATGGTTCTTCATTCTTGATGTTATCTTATTATTTGCTTGTTTATTATTCTATTTTGACTAACATTATATTTTTTTCAAGCTTATGTTTGTTTATTATTTGCTAGTATATTACTCCGATAAATATTACTTATCCCCGATATATCTCCGATTTCCGCTATCCGATAAGGATTTTGACCGTCCGATAAATCCCCGATAACCGACATTTAAAACCTTGACTGTTACAACTCTAACCATGCATTTAGACCTTTTTAGTGGTTTATCATAAACGATTTCCATCAAGGTCGCAAATGAAACAGTCTCGTAGTTATAGTCGGTCATAATAATTTAAATAGTCTAAAGCAAGCAAGTTGAAGACACTCATACTAAGTTTGAGCCTTTGAGGTAATATGTTTCTTATACATTCTTTCGTAATGTTTGACATTTTTATTTTCATTAGAAAAAATAAAAATTTTATTCTTTGTGGGACCCATGACACCTATCAGAATATTTGACCATAATTAACAAGTAATGTTACAAAATTTTACCCACGATTCACCTTATAAATTAAATATATGTTCAAAATGATTTGATGCAGTTACTCTAAGCATGGTGCCAATACGTGAAAATAAACTTATACTTTCTCTTGACAAAAGTGATGGCTAAGGATGTAATGTAGTCGGATTATCCTTCTTCGTATTTAAGTTTGACTTAAAAGTTATAGGAGGGGGTTCAATATTGTCCCATGAAAAGTGAATCCATCACTACCAGGAATTCTATAAACATGGACAACCATGCAATGGATATTACAAACTTTCAATCTTCCAGATCCTTGAAAAATAATAAGCTAACAACTGCACCCTGTTGACGTTTTCTATTCGTTGGTAATTTTCGAGCAATAATGTACGAAGTAGATGTAAATATTCACTCATATAATTAGTAGTTCAAAAATTTTCAGAGGTTTCACAAGGAACAACACCCATACTATCTGGGTCAAACAACGCATATGAGAAGCGCTTGCTAAAGGACAATAAGTCTCTCCTATATGAAATTATGTCTTTATGTTATGAAGACAACTTATGTCTCACATAGATCAGTAAACTGCAACTGTCAAAGCAAAAACATTGGTAGACACTCGAAATTGGCAAGAACATATAGTGAGCCTCAAGATGATGTAATAATTAGTATCTTTGCTCATTCTCGAAACATTAATCCATGCTATAATCGTGAATATATTAATTCTAGTGCTTAAGTTATCTCTCAGTCGTGAAATTAGAGTATATGCGTTTAATTTTTTGTTCTCCCTCATCTTGTAGTAGTAACCCTTAATCCTTCCTATACACCAACAAAAACCTACATATATTCAAAATAGCAACACAAGTATCTTCAATCAGATATTTTGATAGATGTCATGGATCCTAAAAAAGTTTTTATGTCACTTGTTGATTATGATCAAAGATACGGATAGGTGCTATGGAATTAAAAAAGGAAAGTTTTTATTTTTTCTGATGAAAATGAAAATGCTAAACATTGCAAAAGGATGTAAGAAACAGATTACTTCAAACTTAGGGCGAATGTCTTTGACTTGATTACTTTAAACTCCTCAAATTACTGTGATTGACTACGGCTACAAGACTGTTTCGTTTGTTAGTGTGTAGGGTGGTGTAAGGGTTACTAGTACAAGATAAGGGAGAACAAAAACCAAAATTTTGCGAAATGATCCTCTAAAAGGTTGATAAAAGATCAATAAGAATGATGAACACATATATTCTAATTTCATGATGAGAGATAACTTAAGCACTAGAACTAATGTGTTTACGACGGTAGCAGTGATTAAGATTCCGAGAATGAGCAGAGGCACTGATTATTACATTATCTTGAGGCTCACTATCTGTTCTTGTCAATTCTCAATGTCTGTAAATATTTTTGCTTTGACAGTTGCAGCTTTACTGGTCTAGGGAAGCATAAGCTATCTTCATAATGTAAAGGCGTATTTTCATATTAGAGAGACCTATTGTGCTTTAACAAGCGCTTCTCGTTTGCATTGTTTGAAGTGGAGGTAGTATAGGTGTTATTCCTTATGAAACCTCTGAAAATTTTCGAACTACTATTTATATGAGCGAATATTTACATCTACTTCGTACATTATCACTCGAAAGTTACCAACAAATGGAAATTGTCAACAGAATGCAGTTAACTTATTACTTTTCAAGGATCTAGAAGATTGAAAAGTTTGTAATATCATCTGCAAGTTTATCCATGTTTGCAGAATTTCTAGTGATGATGGATTAATTTTTTATAGGAAAGTACTAGCACGCCTTCTATAACTTTTAAGTCAAACTTAAATATGAAAAAGGATAATTCGCTTACATTACATCCTGAGCTATTATTTTTGTCAAGAGAATATAAGTTCATTTTCACATATTGGCACCATGTTTAGAATAACTACACCAAATCATTTTGAATATATATTCAATTTGTAAGGCGAATCATGAGCAAATTTTTGTAATATCACTTGTTGATTATGGTCAGATATTTTGATAGGTGTTATGGATCCCAAAAAGAGTAAAGCTTTTAGTTTTTCTGATGAAAATGAAAATGTTAAACATCACGAAAGAACGTATAAGAAATTGATTACTTCAAACTTAATACGAGTGTCTTTGACTTGCTTCCCTTAAATTATTGTGACCGAGTACAACGACGAGATTATTTCATTTGCGATGTTAATGGAAACCATTCATGATAGGCCACTAAAGAGGTCTAAATGCATGGTTCGAGTTATAGCAGTAGTACATTGGCTATGTGAAGATCTTCATTCTTCGGATTGTATCGTATTCGACTTTTTCTTGGAGATCCAACTGCTAGAATTCATGTTTATATTGCTAAAAAGGATGAGGTAAATTTTTTTGAGCTTAATGTAGAAGTTGATATCATAGAAAGATGATAAAACTCATAGGCATGAGAAACCTTCCCATCTAAGGAAAGAATGGAGTCTTTTGAAATCCGCATAGGGTTTATACTAGCTAACCAGACCTACTAGCTGATCTGCTTAGGGTTTTTTCTGTTGACTCGTTTAGCATTTCTTCTCGCTAAACAGCTTAAGACTTCTTCTAGTTGACCTGCCTAGGATATCTTCTAGCTAACCGGTTTCTACAGGCTAATCCACATAGAGTTTCTTCTAGACTTGATATAGGGTTATTAAACTTTATCTTTATGTCAATGGTCTCTTAATACTGATATAGTTGTATACCATTGTTTCGGTTGTCTACTGCAGATCGCAAAAGCGAGGATTTTTCTTGTGATCTCGATGCAGCTTTAGTAGGGCTCGTCTTGTGCCATAGTTATCACTTATCTCTGGTTGAGTTGCTTTTCTTCATGTTATGCTTTTCTGGCTGCTGCTTGAAAGTTCATTCATCTAGTTATTTGGTTCTTATGTGTAACAAGTTATGTATATATAATATATATGCTCTAGCTTGAGGGAGAGTGTTAGATATTTTTAGATGATATTATTAGATATTTGATGATATTATCAAATATTGTTGTTATTGATATTGTGATCACTTATCCTAACTCTATGTAACCACTAGTGCTTCTCTTGTATAACAACTCATTTGTATATATAGGATATCATAGGTATGATATTATGAAGATCAATAAACAGAACTTTCCCTTTTCTCTACAATTCATGTAGCTTTGTCCTTCTTTTGTACAATACTTGTTAATTTATTTGAAAGTTTGGATCACGGTTCTTTTCATTTTTTGGCTTATTTGCAGAGCAAGAGTCGGATGTGATTCCTTACAATGATCCTAACATCTCTGTTATCTCCACCTCGTTTAGTACATGGGTTGGAATGAAATGCTTATTCCAAGTTTTCATTCTTGCGTACCAAAGATGAGCAGTTTTTAAGTCAGAATGCCCAATTCCTAAGAATGCTTATTCTCACATTTTGTGAGAATAAACATTCACAGAGAAAAGTTATGGATTGAACACATTTTTTTGTCAAGCAGGAACAAAGTTAAGTGAGAATTGATTAAAACAAAGAATGGAATGAAATAGAAGCTATAAGGAATTCTTATTCTCATATTTGCATGACATTAGGATATGAAGCGGGAATAACAAATTCATTTTCATTTCCACTTTTGTATTCTTTATTCAAAAGTGAGAATAGGTTTTCATAATATTGTTTTTACAACATCATAAACATTCAAATGTTACATAGAACATAATTAATAATAGTTACATAATTTGAGAAATTAAATAGTTAATAAATAATAATATACTTTAATGGTATGTTTTATAGAAGTATATTAAGACTAGTTATTAGCTTGGATATACTTAAAAACCTAACAATAAAATTGCACTAGCATCTTGTAGGAATCAAAATAAAAATGAATTTCTGAATGCTTACTAATATTTAAGATTTAACAATGTTTCCCCTGTTAAATATAAATGTTTGCAATTCCCTGTTTACAAAAGAAATCAAGGAAGAAAGAAAGAGAAAGTGTGTCACATCGCCCACACGTCTAAAACTAGTATAAACCAAAATATCCACACATAGATAACATCACGAATCGAGATGCATAAATTTATTCGATTACATATAAATTATCAAGACACTATAAATTCCTGTCAGTATATTCATAAAACACTATCAACTAATTAAGGAAATCATTAGAGTAGCAGAACATTGAGTTTCACTATAGAAAAATACTCTAAACTAGCTCATAAGTCTGAATGGACCGCCTAAGATTGCAAAATCAATCCCCTCACCCACGCCTCCTTCAGATAATTCCTCATTGTGAAGAACACAGCCAAACAATTGCGGTCATAACACTATTCCTAATAACATATAAAAACAAAAATTCTGAAATATTAGTTTTAATAGAATGAAAGAAACAACTCCATTTCCTAAGATGAAAGATTCGATATAGAAAAGCACATTCATCATCCAGGAATTATATGTAAACCAAATAGCCAGAGGGAACCAATAATCATGCATATAATGCATGTTTGAATTGGACTTGATATTAAATTTAACACTTTGGTACTCATTGAATTGCTCCAGGATTCATGCATATTCCTTAATAGTTTTGTATACTTCCCATGAGCATATAACCCTTGAGTATTGGCATGTGAATATAAGCAAATGAAACAACCCCTCTCAGTAGAGCTGAAATGTATGATTTGGCATAGAAAAGCACATTCGTCATCCATGGACTATAGGTTAACCAAATAGCCAAATGAACCAAACAATCATGCACGTGTGAGTTAGTGTAAAATTGAACACTTTTGTAGTGTCAGAATTCACCACATATTCATTAATGGTTTTGTATACTGTATGGGCATATAAACCATGGGTGTTGGCGTGTGAATATGAGCAGAAAAAACGGCTCGTTCTTGAATCTCTTGGGGACTGATCATTTGCCTTCTATCTACTATTACTTTTCCTTGGGGACTGATCATTTGCCTTCTATCTACTATTACTTTTCCTTTTATCTATTCAATTATAGATCACATATTAGTATCTTACCTTATATATTGCAGATGTCATTAAACATCTGATAGCAAAGAGAATGCTAGTTGAAGCTGTTGACCTTGTCTGTACATTCGGACTGGAAGAAAATTTTCCACCTCTTCCTTTGTTAGTATTGCTTGTGAAAAGGACCTGTGAAGTTGGAGTAGAAGAAAGAATAGAAACTCAAAGTCAATCTTCATTAAAGTCACTGGTAAGTGCTCCTTTCTTTTAGAATAACTGATAATAGAATGCTCGTCCAAGTAGTATGGTGTATTACCTCTTAAAATGTGACTAAATATTAACCAAATATTGGTAGTTTTCTTACAATGAAACTAGCTTGGTTATGCCCACCTTCGAAAGTACGTTATATGCAATCAATTTACTCGATTTGCTCCATTCATTTCGATCTATATGTCTTAGATAGTATGTAAACAAAAAATTAGGCTTATTGGTTTATAGTTGCTTATGCATCAAATGATTGTAAAAATTAATGGTTTTACGGTGATATAACTATAGAGACAATGACAAATATGTGTTAGAAGTATTAAAACATCATGATTTTTGTTAATAGATGTTTTGAGACATTTATATTATGATGAATGGAGCGGATCATCCATTGGAATATTCCATCAAGAGGTATATGTTGTTGGTTTGTTAGGAATCCATTATTTTTTTTGACCACTTGATGCATGTGTAATATATGCTCAACGTGTATGATTTTTTATTTGTAGACCTTTTAAGACGTGCAGATCAAGATGAATGGTGTTGATCTCCAATTTCATTGCATAATACACGTTTTTACAAGTGGGCATAATTAAGCTAGTTATGTTCTAGGAACAAATAAGCCTTCCCCGTATAGTATATATGTGTGTGTCTGTGCGCTTGTGTGTGTGTACACACACACACACACACATGTACATGCATATATACATATATATCTATACATCAGGATGCATTAAGTCTGATTTCATCCAAACTGGATCCTTATAAGGCAATGAATGAGACCTGAAATTGGGGTTCATGGACTGTCCAACTTTATCTTCGCATGCCTTTCTACCATCAGCAATGGATATTCCTGTGCGTGAGAACGTATATATATGTAGTAATGTCGTTAATAAGTTGGATATGGGTTATGTCAGGTTTATATTATTAGGTACTAACAAACAATGTGTAGCATGTATCTCGGGCAAGGTTTCGTGTCAAAGCTCTTCTTACTTGGAACTTCCTATATAGGCTATGCTCCACTTTTTTCATCTTGCAAGCGTCTCTCATGTAGCACATATTGTTTCCTCGTATTTTTTTATTTATAGTAAAACGATAGTTGATAATTCACTCTGTATAATAATAATAATAATAAACTCCTCTCTTTCTATGCTCTGTAGGGGTGCACGTCTAAATATATTTTTTCCTGTTCCTTTTTATCTAACCTTGTTGGAATGAAACTGTTCTTCTCTGTATCTCCTTGGACATTTTTAGAAGATAGACCTACTTCTATAACTATCTCATAAAGGAAAGGCCTCTTCCAATTTATTTCCTTTGAACTTTCCAATGTACCCCAGGAGTTATTTACTTGTCCTGGAAGATATTTTAAGTATGTGTATACCTTTACCTCTTAGAATGGAACTGGGAGCAGATGAGGATGTCAATAGTTATTACAAGCTGAAACTGATGTTGGAAGTACTGTGTTATATATCATAACACTAAATTAGTTTTTTTTGGCTTGGATGGTCTACTTAGGCATCAAATATCAAGGAAAATGCTTTCTGGAAAAGTGATATTGAATGTGTGATATTGGTAAAAGAATTTTATACTTATACTACCCTTGGGAAGTTATTTCAATGACAAATTCTAATCCGTTTTTATATAGAAAGAAGCCAATGAAAAACAAGTAGCTGCACTAAGGTCGGTTGTCAAATGCCTTGAATATCACAAGCTTGAGTCTAGTCAGTTTGCTGGTCTCAAGATAGATGAAAAGATCGCCAAGTGCGAACAACGGATTTTGAAATGCCAACAGAAATTGCAGGACATGAATAATAAGAGAAAGTTTGATAAGGGGCCATTGAGAAAACAAGATAATCAAGTTAAACTGCTCAAGCCTTCTTCAGCTGAGGCAGCACATGGTCCTCTTCTGCCATCAGTTAGACTAACCGAAGAGCAAGGAATTTCTCCTGTTCTGGGTTCCAAATATGACTACAATGGCTCTCTTGCAACTGACAAGTCTGTTTCTGCCAAAGCATCTCATGGTACATTCTCTCGCTCAATTAGACGAATTCTAGAAACAGGAAGAATTTTTTCTGAACGATTCAGATGCATCTCCAATGATTTTAAAGCTGCTAACTGCTAACGTGACTGATTGTTGATTTTTTTCCAGGGCTTCAAGCAAGAAATCTGTATGGGTCAGCAGGTGTATGGCACGGAACTGCAGTTTATCAAAGCCCAGTTGGGCAAAGTTTGGGGGGATCACCTTATTCATCAGGGCATGATTATGCCAGGTACTCTACAGCTGCAGGGCAAAATTATCAACCTACTTTATCTGCGCAAAATCTTCATCAACCAACTGCATCGGGACAAATTTATCAGCCTCCCCCGTCATCAGTGCAGCACCTTCATCAATCAACTACATCAGGGCAAAATTATCAGCCTCTTGTGTCAGGTCAAAATCTGATTTCAGGGCAAAATCTTCATCAGCCGACTGCATCCGGTCAAAATATTCATCAGCCAACCGAATTGGGGCAAAATCTTCATCCTCCTCCATCAGCGCAAAATCTTACTTCTGGGACAAATCTTCACCAACCAAGTGCATCAGGGAAAAATCTTACTCAGTCACTTACATCAGGGAAAGATCATCATTCAGGACAAAATCTTCATCGGCCAACTGCATCAGGGAAAAATGTTCATCATCCAACCACATTAGTGCAAAACCTTCGTCAGCAAACTGCACCTGGGCAAAATCTTCATCAGCAAACTGCATCAGTGCAAAATCTTCATCAGCTAGCCACATCAGTGCAAAACCTTCATCAGCAAACTGCACCAGGGCAAAATCTTCATCAGCAAACTGCATCAGTGCAAAATCTTCATCAGCCAGCCACATCAGTGCAAAACCTTCATCAGCAAACTGCACCAGGGCAAAATCTTCATCAGCAAACTGCATCAGTGCAAAATCTTGGTCAGCCAGCTGTATCAGGGCAAAACTATTACCAGCCAATTCCAGAAAACTATGAAGAATATTGTCAGCCATCGGCGGGAAACTATTATCAGAAAACTACAGAGAATTATTACCAGCCAAATGCACAATATTATTATCAGCCAACTGTGGCGGGGCAAAATTATTATCAGCCAACTGCTTCAGGGCAACCTGCACCTTCTCTTGTAACTGAGGATGGGAGGCTCCATCAGCTTGTCAATGCTGTTCAGGGAAGTGAATTATCTAATTATTATACAAATGGAAATACTGCACCAGATCATTCCGTAGGTTGCAATGCTGTCTCTACTAACAACACTGTTTCCAATCCCATCCATCAGTATACGGGTTGAAAATGGTAAGCAACTGATAGGTTTTCCTTTTTTAGTAGGTATATTTAATTGGATATCTAGAAAGTCTTCAGGCTTAATTGTCTCTATCCTCATGAGATTTCATCTGTGGATTTCTGTAGGTATCCTTGAAATGTATCCATGAAGGCGGACTTTGAATGGATCCCGATGATTCTTATTTGCTGCAATTAGGGGACGATCGCGTTTACTTCCATGGAAACTATTTTTGGATGTAACGTGAAAACTAGGCCAGCTGAAGTCAAATGTCCATAAAAGTTTTATTACTCGGGACAGAGTTTGTATATAATACAGATGTCAGACCTCATAATCGACGAATGCCGACTGAGACAGATTTTTTTTTTGAACTCGGACAGTAGAAGTTAAAGAAGCATCTGTTCGATATTTCGACAGTGCATTTGTTCGAACATGCCGGTGATTAGTACCGTACCGGCATTGGAAGTGGCTGTTAGAAAATCTTTGAAAATGCGATGGGAGTTATGATGTAACTAAGAAAGATGCAACTACATAGAGATGGTGTATTTCAACAGGCGGCAACTCCCAGTCTCAAGCTTGGAGCGATGTATTCTTCCCTCACTTGTATAAGCTTATGGAGCTGGCTGCATCATATGCCCATGCTTGGTCTTCTTTGTCTAGTTTACTTATGTTAGTACCTGTACGCACAGGTTTATCTAGATAGAAGTAGGTACCCTTCCCCTCCTACTTATCTTGGACTCGGTCTAGCTTTAAGGCATAACCTCCTGGTGTTTTTACCTTCGTCTTCACCGAGCAAGAGGGCATAACCAGAGGCAGGCTGCGTACGGAATTCTTCTCGCCTCGATATTTATCTTGGTTCCTTGAGTTTTGATATAAGTTTATTAAAAACTCAACTATTGCCACTGGACATCCTCGTGAAGTATTTCGCCTAGTTTGTAGTGTATTATCTTTCCTTATGAGATCATATTTTTGCTTTCCCTTCGCTTCTAGTACGGTAAATAATTTAGATGCTCGTGCTGTGAGCCGGATACAGGCACGCGCTTATTAGCAAGAACGACCTAAACGGAGCACACAGCGAGAAGTACACTAGGACAGAGGAGATGTCTATGATACGAATGAGAAATTCCTCTTATTATTATACCAAAAAGGAGGAGCGGTTTTTTTTTCTTCCTTTTTTTTAGATATTCTTCCCTTGTGCCTTAATATTTTAAAATCAGCTCCTCAAACCATTCCCGCGATTCTTATATTTGCCGCCGGTACTACTACCAGTTCAGGCCCGCAAAGGCAATTTCACTAGTTGTGAGGGACCGGGTCCACAAATTAAGATGGGAGTAGTATTCAAAAACCAGCAAAGGAAATCTAAAGCGGTAGTAGGCGGGTTGTTGATGGACCGGCGTAAAGTCAGAAGGGAGGTTGGTGGAGTCGCAACGGACGGGTGGGTGGGTGAGTGGGTGGGTAAAAAAAATCATAATATTCATATAGATATCCTCAGCTATGTCCGCCATCACCGGCGCGTTCACGGTCGCCTCTGTCGCGTCCAAACCAGCCTCGCCGGCGGAGACCAAAACCCTGCATCCGGGTGGCCGTCGGTCTTCGCGGGTCTCGATGGCGGTCAGAGCTGCAGCGTCGGTGGAAAAGAGCAGCAACGGAGGGAAAAAGGAGGTTCCTAATAATTCAAAGTACGTGGTTCCTTTGGACAAGGCCACCTCTGGCCTCACTCGCCCTTTGGCTGAGATTCTCAGGGATCTCAACAAGAGAGTCCCTGATAACATCATCAATCACCAGGAAAAGTCCATCCCTTGGTACTTATTAACCTTACAATTCCCCCTTTTTCTTTTCTTTTTCTTTTCTTTTTTTGCCCCCAAAGTCTGTTTGGTAATGGGACTAAAATTAAAGGGTGCTGGTTTTTTGTGTGTAGGTACCATGCTAACAGAATGCTGAGCTTCTACGCCCCCGGTAAACTTCTGTACCTGTAAATTTATACTGAGTAGGCATTCCTTTTGATCAAATTTTGCGTACCCCTTGAAACTAGAAGGGAACTCTTAGAACCACGAGAAATGTTGGGTTGTTGCTTTCCTCGTCGTTTTCGCAATACTACAATCAGTGAAACTGCAGGTGTAGTTTTTTGCTTAGCGTATGATCCGAAACCTGCGTGGTTATCGGGATGCGTGAATGCATGACCTTTCGAAGGTTTAACTTTGGACTTAGCATGTTATGATGCGATCTAGCATGTACCCTTGTTAAGTGATTACGATTCTTCTGGGTTTTAGAGCTGTCTTTCTAAAATATATGAAGAGGGTGTTTGCTGTGACTTCTGCAGAATACCTCAGGTAGTTGCTTTTTTTTCTGCTTGCGGTAGTAAAGGAGTTACATCTTTAATCAGTTGCTCTTTCTATTAAGATATCTGTGGCTTCCAGTTTCATGAAGATAGCTCTATGTGATAGCCCTTATATGTGAATGGGTATACATAGAACCCACGATGAGTGAAGAGGAGAACCCTCCATTCTAATCAAGAAAATTTATTATCCTACCCAAGCTTTAATCACTGGAGTATCTAAGAGAAAAACGACAGCAGACCCCTTGCGTGCTGCTAGTATTGGCAAGACATGAGAGCTAGCGATAGTATACTGTGGGTAAAACATGGAATGGGTAAAACAAAGTGTTACTCTTTCGAGTCTTGGATCTAAACATATTTGACCAACTACCATGTTTCTTTCTATTTTAAGTGCGACAAAAACCAACTTGTAGCACCAAATTTGCACTCAATTGAATGAGAGACACCTAATCTCAATTGTTAGTGATTTCAATTTTACCGTGGCTGCTCTCCAGAATGCTCCATGTAAAATGCCACATTTGTGTTGAATTTTACTTTATATGCGAAGGCTAATGATGTTTTCACCTTTTACGCTTATCATTTGCATGACCAAGACTTACATTTTTTGCAACATACACTGTTTAAAATCATTAGGGTTGGCAAATTCCATCAAAATATTTTCCTAACAATATCTCTGAATATTGCTATCTTTTCTCTTGAATGGAGGGCTTTTCTTCCTTAACGTATATGAGATGCCAATTTACATGCCAACGCCAGTTATGGAAGTACTTTAAAGTTTATTTTCCTAATGGTTGTATTCTCCAGGTTGGTGTGGGGAGATAAGGAGTGTTATGTACACAGACAATGGAAGTGTGACAGTGCTTTATCGTCTTACAATACGAGGATCTGATGGAGAGGTACCTTCTGCAAACTCATTCCTGTTGATGTATATGACTTCATATTTTATTATTTATACATAGAGGTCATACCTGGGTTAGGACAATCTACTTCCAGACCTGCGTATTGGCTGGATGCCTGGATCAACTATCAATTATGGAAAATTTCTATCAACTGCCGCGAACGTTATATACTATGCATAGTCTACTTCTGCAACAGAAAGATATCATTGCTTTATTGAAAACATCTTTATAATAATCTGTTAATCTTAGTTTCTAAAATTCAATCCAGAGTAAAATTCATAGATGTGAAAAGTATCATTTACCTCAAGTCCCCTTATCACATACACAAACCAACATAATTAAACTTACTACAGATTAAGAATTACATTATCATGATCTTACAAATGTCATGGTTCTAGTTACTATTTTTATTTTTCTCTCAATTTAATGCAGTCCCATTTCATCTCATAATACTCTCATTAGCAACCTTCATTGTCAGCAAACTATGTCAAATGCTTGGTTTTTGTTGCTTTCATGAGGACATGCTTTTCTCACTGTTTTCAAGTTTCAGTATTATTTTCATCGGCAGCTTTTGTTCATTGACTTCATCCATATAGCTATATTTATATCCACACAAAAGCTATGCGCTATTCTTGATAGAAGTTGCCTCGTCATTATCCAGTGATATTCTAGGATTGACTAGGTGTTGCAACAAGAATCTTGCCTTGTCTGAGTCCACATAAAGCTTGATTTTCGCTTGAAAAATCCGGCGTAAAGCAATTCTGAGGCAACTTTTTGGCCACTATAGTTAGTATACAAGCCAAGAAGAGTATTGACTTGTACATTTACCTTTAGGGCCGATGCTTGCCAGTGAAATATGAAGAAAAAGTGAAGTGGTATGTATTAGGTATCTGACAACTAGCGTAATCGGATCTCTATGTATATGATGCGGACCCCAAAAAAATTTGGGATAAAGGCTTTGTTTTTCGTCATCATCGTTGTTTTTGTTGTGTTGTTTTGACTAAGCAATTTTTTCTAGAATCTAGATCAACTTTGACCTTTTCATTCTTACATCTGCTTCCCTGGTGCAGGCACACAGAGAGTCTACAGGTACAGTGTCTTTAAATGATATTCGGTTCGAGGATCCTGTTGCAGCAGCAGAAGAACTAGCCTTTTGTCGAGTCTGTGCTCGCTTTGGTTTTGGCTTGTATCTTCATCATGAAGATGAGTCCCTGTAATAGTTAGTGATTCTTCCTCCGTGTTCTCACGAAATAGTCAGCAGTGCCCTCTCCTCAGCTGTTCAATAGAAAAGCTGACAATAAAATTGCCCCCCCCCCCCCAACCCCACCCCAACCCCAAAAAAAAAAAGTTCATATTTCTGTCCCCTCTCCGTTGAGCAGATGCATATTGATGTTATGTTGTTGTGTTCTTCTGCAAGGTCCGCACGGTAGTTTCAAGTAACGTTGTGCTTTAGTTTGAGAGATAGGAATGTGCCCACTTAAGCACGGAGTCAGTCATATGGATACAGGAATAGCTATGTATGACTATTTCTGGTGATTTATTATCTGAAAGATAAATAAAAGGTCTCCATGCTTGGTTGCTTGTCAAATGAAACTTTCAGATTTTTGAGTTTTTCTCAAAGATCGGTGAGCTCGAGCAGGCCTACGTTTTCTTGTTAATATAAGATCTTTTGTTTGCTTTCTCCCTTAGGACCTGTGAATGAACTAGTGCAAGAGAATTATTGTGCACTGGTCCAGAAAATGATCATCTCAACCAAGTTTTCGCTGGAGTTAGTTTAAAAATAAATAACATGAAGTCTGGTAAGTTATAAATTAATTGATCACGCTTGTACCTATTACATAGAGTATATAATTTTATTATACCAAATTATATTGTTCATGCAAAATTCCCCAAGTGGATGGTTAGAAAGAACATGCAAGACTTAAAAAGTGCAAATGGCTGCAAATCGGTCCGTACTAGTAAAGAGAAAATGGTTAATTGCCCAGAGAGGCCATGTAGTATTCCTATTGAATTTATTACCCCTGTAGTTTCATTGTTGCAAATAGACCCTCTAGGTTAAATTTTTTAAGCTCTTTTACCATCAGGTAGACTGACTGAATTTTCACCGGAGGCAGTATCTGTCATAATTTCACCAAGGATAAGAGTACGACAAAAAACTTAACCCAGGGGTCTATCTGTAACAATGAAAATATAGGTTGGTGCAAAAACAGTGAAAGCGCAGGAGTCTTTTAAGTAACCCAGGATAACAAAAAGTAACTGGCATACAATGCAAATGGCCGCAACATTACAGTCCCTGCTGATGAAGATAAAAAAAATTGGCATACAATGCTTTATCTGAAAATTACTCTTCTTTGTTTGCACAAATTTCAGAAAGGTTGTATACAAGATAAATATTCACACGTGCATCAATTGTTCAATTACATAAACGAGATACATTTTTACACACTTCACTTACAAACATGTTCTTTTCTTGGTCTTTACTTTTCTGTACAAATTGGACAAAATCTACATGAAAATAGCTTGGTACCTAACCATACTTTCCGATCTATAATTTCTTTTGTGCTTCTGAACTATCCTTTTTCCCTTTCCGAACCATGCTAATTGTCAGTTTTTCAGATTGGAATTTGAGAATATCCATGTCGCGATCACATTAGCCAGCATATCAACAAGTTTAGAATTCTGTGCTCGAATGATTCCAGAATCTGCACTGAAGGTGCTACTTACTTCTTTGGCTACTGTTTCCAATGGAGTCCCAGCAGTGAGATTAGCCAGAAGCTCACCTCCTTGGTTTACAGCATTTGCCATTGCAGGAGGAACATCAGGTAAAACCTACAAAAAGAAGAAGATACGTAGCATCATTAGGCAGGAAAAGATGATTTATGTAAGGGGAAGAAAGCCTATAGAGGGCCCTCTATAGAAAATAATACGAGGAAGGAGATCACAACAGAATCCAACACATATTTTAAGCTTGGTGATTGTGATTGCCCTGATGTAGTATTGGTAATTATATCAGTACAGATTGCTATGATATTGTAGTAGTGGGATACGTGTCGAGATCTCTTTTCTCCCTATATGATTTTCTACAGAGAGCCCTTTATCGAATTTTGTTTCCTATATGACTTTCGGATGTAGTAACTATCTTTCCAAATTGAGAAGAAATTATGAAGAACAAACTTGCCTGTTGCAAAGGGAGTCCATGATCTCCAGGAATTGATCGAACTGACATATCCAGTGAGGAACTTATGGCAGATTCAGCACTCAACACTCGAGCTAAAGTTGGAGTCTCATCTATCATATCATCCTTAAATTTAATCAGGAGGTTCCTTGAGACACCATAATAAGATTTTACCTGCAGAAGAGAGAAACCAACAGATATCAATATTTTGCAGAAATAAATAACAAACGTTCCAATTTCAAATTTCTGCCCAATATAAATTACGATATGTTGTTAGTTCTTACAAGAGAAAGAAATTAAATATTTAAATTCACTAATTCTGGAGACATGTAACATTGGATTTCCCATAGTTCCTATCCACATTCTCCCTCTCTGACCATACAGAACAACTTCCCAACTAAAGCAACGTAACTGTAACTTAAGGATTGAAATGCCTAACCAAAAAGCATACATAATTAATTTCATCTTTGATTATGTGAACAAGCAATCCTCAAGAAAGTCCGGTTTGTCTTTAAAGGAAAAAAAGTGGATTCTTTCAATAACTGAAAATGACCTTTTTAGATAATAGCAATGTCATGAATTGTGGTTAGCCTCTATCACAAGTGCTTCCCTCAATGTGATATGTTATTAACACAAAGGCAGCAACCTGATGATGGAACTAATATCCATTCAGCTCAGAAATAGAAATACAAGATCAGGACATGGACCAATGATTATAAGATAGAAGCCTAGGCAGGTCAACAACCCTAACTGCAACAGAACGATTACGTGGTTTACAGGTGGTGAAGGCATTGACAGTTCCTCTGTGATTACAAGGACTATGATGATATTTCTGTGTGATATTTCCATGTGATTATGATGCTTAGAAGCCTTGGCACGTCAAAAACTCCATTTATTAACTGGAAAATATTTAATTGATCCTGATGATGATTATGGTGATATTTCTGTGTACATAGATCTAGCTGAGGTTGAAATTCACATGATGAATAGAACAATGTAGCTGTTTAAGCTTTCACAAAAATGGTAGATAGAGATGCTACATACCAGTCGACGAGTCTCCTCTGGTTTAGGAATAAACTCTTCCCTTCCTTTGACCAAATCCAAATATAATGGAGGAAGTTGCTCAACTAAAGGCAAAACTTGTTTCATAATTGGAGGACTGAGATTCTCTAATTGCTTTATAGCCATTTCTGCCTAGAATAAATCATCATCAGCTTTCAAAAGTAAGAGACTGCAGAAATAACTACAGAAAATAAAAAGAAATCATCATATGATTTTTGTACGAAAACAAGCATGAGCATTTTTTTTAACTACTGAGTTCTGCTTTTTAACCCAGTTAACATACCATTCTAATTGACAAGAAAATATTTCTGATGAAGTTATATTATGGAAGAGGATCATATAATTAAAAGATCCATCTGCCAAGAATACTGGTCATATAACACTTGATTGCAACTGAGAATTTGTATGTGGAAAGCAACAAATTAATTATCATTTCCACGCACAAGTACATTTAATACAAAACAAATGATACAATTTTTTCTGTACTGCATCAAGCACTAGGTTAAGAAAACAAATCTGATTAGTCCACAGCAAATTAAAAGCAAGTGTGCTGCCAAAACTTTACAATCTAGCAAAGAAAGATTATCCATGTCTACAAACTTCTTAACTGAGTCAATAATTGACCGGTGTCATTTTATTTTTAAAAATAGATTAATACTATGTGAAACCATCTATAATACCTGCGCACCAAATAACATGCAACTGAGCTACATCTATGGGTTTTGCTAGACATCAAACGAATTATAACTTGTTCAAATTGATATAATTGGTATGCATCAATTACAACTGAGTTATCAAGATGTGAACCATAAAGGTAAAGACAGACTGAAATGTTATCTTGAAGACAATAATCATCGTAAAATCAGACTTGAAACCATACCAAACATACAAAGTACCTACAGTCCAATTAAGTATCTACCCAGGTATAACCTCCCTCTGTTGTCCACCATATAAAGCACCAGCATGACCAACCAGTATCTGTTCATGTCTTATACTTAATTACCTTTCTGACAACTTTAGGAATTGCTTGTCTTTATTAATTTAAAATTCTAGACACATATAATATAGGAATAATTCTTTGTGCTTGTCTTCTTTCAATAATGGTTTCCCAAATAAAGATAAAGTACTAGTCAGGAAGGGGTGTTCAAATTCTAAAATTTAGAAGCAACTTCACTTCCAATTAGTTCAGATGGTTCCAGAAAGTTGTTAATCCTAAAATAGTAAAAATCAATATAAAAATGAGGATATTATCTGGAAAGCATGGTGACGATTCTATAATTGTCTCAACAGCTCCTATACACATCTTTAACATTAAAATAGAAGCACATAAATCACAAGTTGGTCCTAAAATTAAAAAGAATTATAAGTACCTAATTTCTGAGAAGTCATTGCAAGAAGCTGGTTAGAGCAACATAGTGCTTAGCAATCAAGAAAGTTGAATAATTCAATTAGGAGATTCACATACCCCACGGACAATTGTTGGAGATGTGAGCTGGGATAAAAGTGGACCAAAACTTTGAGCCACTGGTACAATAACAGGAGAAAACAATGGAATTGCTAGGCTTGCCTCCTGCAAAAAAATTATAAAAGCTAAGAATTTATTCTTAAAAAATATTTTGAACAGCAACTCTAGCAGAATAAGCTGAGTTTCTCTGCAGCTCCAAGTCAATAAACAAACATCATGCACACATTTCATTTCCTGCGTCGGGGTTACATTGTACCTCAGACTTCATCAAATCATTCAGTCCCATATATGAAAGTTGTTACAGCCTTCTGGAGATTCTTCTATTAGCTAATTAGCCCATGAGGCAACTAGTAGCAATGGCAACTAGGAAACAAATTCAAACATGCAGACCAAGAATCCAAGATAAGCCATAAACTCATGCTTATACTGAAGAAATGTCCAGAACATCAAACACAGACATGGATCTACCATTTTCTTAAAAGTTAAGACATGGACAAATTTTCAAAACCATCCGCTTTTAAAATTTATTTTCCAAAAACGAACCATTTCAACCTTAATTTCAAAAACCGACCCAGTTGGTTGAAACTGGGTCGGTTTTTTCAACCAACTGGATCGGTTTTTGAAAAAAAAAAGTTCCCAAACTTCACGGGAGTTGAACTCCCGTGAAGTTTTGTTATGAGAAAAAACTTCACGGGAGTTCAACTCCCGTGAAGTTTGGGAATTTTTTTTCAAAAACCGACCCAGTTTCATCTAACTGGATCGGTTTTTGAAATTAAGGTTGAAATGTGTCGTTTTTTGAAAATAAATTTCAAAAGCGGATGGTTTTGAAAAATCCTCCGTTAAGACATACTTAAAAAGGAGGTACGTCTGGTATAGAGAAACTTGCCAGCGTTACATGATAGTTATCTCTTTTTCACCATATTAGTTATTGGCTAATAGAAGGGAACATTTATAGGAACAATACTTCTCTAGTAAACGCTAGAAGATGCTAAAGTGAGACAAGGGATCAGATACCTTATTGTTGAACGCCATTAATACATTACCATTTCTGTCTATAGCATACCTTGACCCTGGAATATTATAAGAAAATCATATCACTCGGAGCTACTTGTAGAAGTATAAGAATTTGCAGCATGATAGTTAATACCAATAAGAAGATGGATCACTGATCCTAGGGAATGGCCAACACCAAATACTGGAAGATTATTTACCTGTAAAATAAAAGAAATATGCTCGGGATTTTGAGGAAATGCCAATAAGAAACAGGGAACATAATATAACACACTCACGGTATCATGTAAGGACCTCATGCACCTATCAAATTTAAATTGTACTTCATCTGCAATAGCAAAGTGATCAAAGCCGCTTGCAAAAGGTGTTGCAACAATCAAAATACCCCTGAATAATAAAACATGGTCATCATATTTACATGATCATCATATTTCTTACAATATTGCTGCAGGAAAAAAATTATATATCACATATTTTGATAATTTTAATTCATTTTTTTAGTGAACAGCTGCAAAATAGAACGTTAATCTAACAGAAAGGGGTAAAGAAGCAGATAATCCTGCTCAAGCATAGAAATTCCGCCCTCTGAAGGAGGAAAGAATCAATAACAATAATGATAATAGTAATAATCATCCAGTAAGGAAACAAGTTGTTAATCATGTGCATCAAGTTGCTTTAACCATGGATTATCATGGCCGAACCATATCACTTATAGTTTATGAGGATTGTGATATTTGTAAACATAACCCTTCAAAATTCTATCATCTAAGTTCCTTTATATGTATAAAATCTGCAAATAAAACTCCTTACTTCTCAGAGAGTCGCTCCAGAAGAAAGCGATATGTAAGTTGAGGTGCAGCTCCAACAAAAATACCACCAATAAAATGAATAACTGATGTTGGCTTGATGTTTCTTGGTTTGAGCACCCATGCACCCTAAAATAGCCAAAACTGTAATACATAAGTTGTTTGTAATTATTCAATAAAGCCTAAAATGGTAAAACAAAGGATATAAGGTTGGGTATTTGTGTCAAAACTGGGATCCAATTTAACCATACTAAGCATCAATAAGGTGTTTTAGCTCATTTTTCATAGATAGGTCTAGATTAAAATAGATTAATATCAAGAATTATTAGGTAAGTCTTTCAAGAATAATTTTCTCCCGTCATCACATTTATCTATATACTAAAACAAAAGGGATTTCCGCTGTGGATTAGAACAGTTCATATCTACAGCGGAACTCCAATCAACTCTCAAAACAAAAAAAAGCCTTAATCCTAATCTCTCTCCAAAAATATCCAATCTCCACCAGTCACCTCCTCTCTCCTTCCCACCGACATTCCGAAACCCTTCTCTCCTGCTACACTGCCGCCACCTCAAAGATGATCATGCAACCTTTCCAATGGCTCGCGCGATCTTCGACGGCTGCTTCCTCTGCTTAGAAGCCGCCTCCTTCTTCAACCAAACCACTCTCCCTGGCAACATCGTCGTCTGCAACAATCACACCGATAACGATCCTAATGTTCAAAACCCTAGCTGAGGTTTTGATGAGGGATTTCAGCCTTGTGACGAGCGAAGTTCAGGGCTTTTACGAGGTGGCAAGGACTGAGGGGGAGTTTTTCAGGTAGTGCAGTGTGGGAGGATGGTGAGAGTGGATGAAGAGTTGCCCGCTGGTTCTAGAGGGTAGGGCTGTTGATGGTGGGTGTTTATGAGGTATTCGAGTTTGGATTTTTTTGGGGGAAGCATCAGACTTTGGATCTTCAAGCTCTCTTGGCATCACAATGGACAATGAAACACAAACTTAAAATTATGAATTGTCTTCTGGCCATGGTTCAGTGAAAAATTATCAGTTATGTGACGCTGCAACTCCAAATTAGTGGATAAGTAAATTGAAAGAAGTAGTATGAGAACAAAGATTTCTCCACTCAATACTGCTGCTTATTTTGGGGGAAGATCTATGTCAAGTAATATGTGGCAATTTTACATAGTATTTGTATTCGTATTTTCTTTTTGTTTGTGCACATTGTATTTGTATTTTCTTTTAGATCAAATTTATGCCTGATATGGAGGCATTTGTGGATGATAGTCGACAAGAAGGCATATAACTGATGCAATGCAATGTAATAGTACTAATTTACACGTCATAATCTAGGTTAAATTCTGAACTGCTGGGGTAAAAAAAGAACCTTATTAGTGTGCAAGCGGCTAGCAGTATTGTAAGTGAGGTGAAGACAAATCTTAGTGTGCAAGGTGCGAGCGGTGATTTTATAAGAATAGCACATGAACTGTTCTGCAGTGAAATTGCACCACACAAAATTAGAGGCAGAATGACCCATACCATGCAAATCAAGTTAACAAATTAGAAGCAAGTGAAAACTTAATGAACTACTACCATTTCAGTCCACCGCTTAGTTTTCCCTTTTTCCCCCATTTTTTGTACCCTATTTCGAAAATTATTTAATCTTTTTCGTCATGTTGGAACTATCATTCAATTATAGCAGTTCATCCATAAAAAAATTTGTGGACTTAGAGCTAGGGCTGAGCATGGTTCGGTCCAAACCGAAAAAACCGACCGAACCGACCGAAAATTAATGGTTCGGTTCGGTTTTGTTTATAAATCGGTTCGGGTCGGGATAAAAAAATTTCAACCCGAACCGACCACAGTTTTACAGTATGATTTTTAACCCGTACCCAAATCATACCCGACCCCCGTTCAGTAAAATCTCTCAATATCCTAACCCTAACTCCAAGTCTCCAGCACCAAGCCCGTAGCCCAACTGCCAGCTCCTTATATCAGCATCCTAGATCTGATCATCTCCTCAAATCCGCACTTCCTCAAACAAGCGTCCTAGATCATCTCCTCAAATCCAAAGGGCTGCAGAGCAGGGCCGCCGAATCGTAGGCGCAGGGCAGTACCGCAGGCCACAGTGCACCGCAGGCTCGTCGTGGGGGGCTCCGTTTCAAGCTGTCGATTTAATTTTGTTTGTAATCTAGATTAGCTCCTTGCTAGGGTTCAGACCTCACTACTCAAGCAAAATTTCTCTCTAGCAATATTTTTCCTTTCCTGGATGCAAACAAGGCCGGTAGTAGATTTCTGTCGTGTTTTCCAAGCACCTCATCTCCAATACCCGAGTTCTAGTCCATCGATCTCTGGATCTCCATAATTATCATCTCTGGACCTTCCTTGCAGCGCTCCTCTTCACGAAATCCCTGCCGAACATTGCTCCGTTTGAGAGCTCTTCACAGATTAGTGCACGACCTCCGCAACCATCCTCTGATCCACAGAAATCCATTATTACTCGGCCACCTCAACCAACTTTTCAAACGAGTCCAATCGGTAATTTTCACTTCTAGGTTTCTTTCTTCTCCTTCTTCCCCAAATTCCTAATTTCTAGGGTTTCACCTCAGGTGAACAAATCGAGCGGGCCGTTCGATGCCCTTCTTTGCGTTGGCCAGTTTTTTCCTGAGTCCGTTGAAGGGATCGACAAGGTCGCTGATTATGTCGAAGACCGATACTCTGTTCCAGTTCCTACTTATTTCACCGGCGATTACGGCGCTGGAACTTCTCGATTTCTATCGAAGGCTTCTAATCTAGGGTTTAAGACTGACGGGATTGAGATTTGTGCTAATCTCTATTGGTTGAAGGAAAGCGGCAAGTTCTCTCTTCATGGTGAGTTTCTTCTCTCTTAAAATTGAAATTAGAATATTTATGCCTGTGATCTTTGAATATTTGTGCCTTTGGTTGTTTGGATTAATTTACTCGTTTACAACCATATACTTGATATCTTCTGCCATAATTTCTATTGGCATGTGATTTCATTGAGTCAGTATGTGTATTTTAGAGGGTTATCAGGAACTGTACACCATATACTCAATGTTAGAACCGAACAAACCAAACCGAACCGTACCGAACCGACTTGTAACGGTTCGGTTTGGTTTTGAATTATAGGTGGTTCGGTTCGGTTGTTCAAATTTTGGTAAAAACCGACCCGAACCGAACCGTGCACACCCCTACTTAGAGCCTCATGTACAATGCATAGAATTTATCACACGCATAATCATGCAAATTTTTCTTAGTTGATTTAGCTACAAATTTCCCCAAAATTGTATTTCATTAGTTGCACATCACATGTTTATAGCCTCTTTTGTTTTTATTATTTCTTGATGCTGTTCTTGCATTTTTTCTATGATAATATTTTGGTCCCAGTGGTCACATATGAAATGTAAACTCAAGGGTATAACCATGAGAAATAAGTATTACTGTTGGATGACATGATACATTTAGTCCTTTGCTCTCATGTCCTTTTTCTAAGCGAGGTATCATTAGATTAAATTTTTTTTGCACGCACCGCCAAGCGGGCCGTTGCAGAAATCAATTTGTTAGGAGGTCGCGTACGACCCCCAGTCCGGATGTTGGCTCGAAGCTCCTTCAACGATCTCCAGCTTTCCTTAACAAGCGCTTTTCCTCGATTCTCGGGTAGGGCACCGATACGATCCTTCAGAGGAATCCTGAACTTGGGGAAATCCACGCTGCGGTAGGGCCTTACCGGAGGTTCGGGATCTGAAGTTGACGAAGGCCGGAGAGCAACGTCGCCTGCTTTTGCCTTAGGCGCTGACTTGGCTTTTGGCACCCAAACTTGTTTGGATCTCGGCGATCTCTTAACTGCCTCTTCCTTTTGCATTTCTTGTGCTTTTCGCACAAGGGTCCGGGCATCCGCAAGCAAGGTGCGACGCTTCTGGATTCGCTCCTCGAGAGTAGAGCGGGTTCTTTAGACACGAATCCATCCGTTAATTGGAGATCGAGAGGAGGATTCTGATGCTGGTCGTGGCGACAGATTAGCCACTTGGCGGTTTTGAATTATAGGTGGTTCGGTTCGGTTGTTCAAATTTTGGTAAAAACCGACCCGAACCGAACCGTGCACACCCCTACTTAGAGCCTCATGTACAATGCATAGAATTTATCACACGCATAATCATGCAAATTTTTCTTAGTTGATTTAGCTACAAATTTCCCCAAAATTGTATTTCATTAGTTGCACATCACATGTTTATAGCCTCTTTTGTTTTTATTATTTCTTGATGCTGTTCTTGCATTTTTTCTATGATAATATTTTGGTCCCAGTGGTCACATATGAAATGTAAACTCAAGGGTATAACCATGAGAAATAAGTATTACTGTTGGATGACATGATACATTTAGTCCTTTGCTCTCATGTCCTTTTTCTAAGCGAGGTATCATTAGATTAAATTGTAAGTGATGGATGAATCCGTCAACAACACTTTCGAGATGAAAAATTGGACATTTTTTAAAATGGGGAAAAACTTTTTTTCCATGCTTATTACCGTTGCATTATGTAAACTTTTTCCCATGTTTTATTTTTTCTTGACAAAAGGCGTAAGAGTTGCATGTGTAAGCATCTTATAAAAATAATTGATTATATAAGCTGCTGAAAATAACTATTTGATAATTATACATCATAAATGGTTTCTGAAATAAGCCAAAGTGTTTAGTATAACTATGCATAAAGATCACTATAAGTGATAATGACCAAGATGAAAATAACTTTAGATACTTGTAAATAACTACATCAAATGCCATCCCTTTCTTCTGGCAAGAATGTGAGTGCCAAAAGTTAATGCAAATGTGAGTATTAGCATTCACATTTTTAACAACTGAATAATTGGATAACCCATTGATTTAATCAGTGGCTTAAAAATACCAGAACTGATGAGCAGGAATTCTAAGATGTGCAGATCATAAACAGTGGTTTGGTTTGTAAATTACCTATCCAAATGTCATATATCTGATAACGTAGAATAAGCGACACATACATCAATGATTAAAATGAACGTAACCAGTAACAGAGACAAGACTGTTCAGTAGCATAATGATTAACAAGAAGCTCCATATTTTCATGGTCATAACTTTACATTCAGAACTCTTGCATTATTTATTTAACCAGTTTAAATTAGACAGACATGTTACTATGTTAGATGATTTAAATCTTATAGAATAATTTTAATTAATAGTGAGGTATAACTAATATGCAAAATCTACCAAGCTAATATGATTATATGTTCACACATTCTTGCAATAAACATACTAGACATGGTTGGAATTGCAAGAATAATACAACACCAGAAGTATATTGTATAAGATAATTTCAACCAGAGAATGTACATGCTGTACATGTATAAAATCTGAAGACATGACATTTTCCTCAGAACACTTCCATGCAAGGTAGGAATAGGTAGAGATGTTGATAGGGATCCCATCTTAAACATGTATTCAAGGAGTAGCAGATTATGTTATTCTTTAAGATCCCCAATGGTTTAAAGTTCAAGTGTTTTTTTTTCTTATTTTAAATTCAGATTTGATTAGACTTCTAGATTATTTTAGGACTCGTGCTCAGTTTGGATGCTTTTCAAATAAGTATATACTGTTAGGACTTCCCCCCTTAACTTAGTTTCTTAGGTGTTAAGCAAAACTCTCATGTAAAAGGTTCTCTTCTTTGTAAAAAGGAAGTTAATGCATGGTAATTAAAGTTGGTATTCTGTGAAATAAGAATGTAAGATGCTTCCAATATTTTTTGCAACCCGTGATTAGTTGATCTAGAAGTGAACCCCACAAATAGGGGTGTGAAATCATAGCTTGATTGATGGTGTGTTAGCTTACATTTAAAAGATTAGATTTCCATACAAGGTTACACAATGCGCTAGGCGGCCTAGGCATTTGACCCATCATTGCGCGATTCCCTGGACCCCCTCGAACCGTCATATAATTCCTGCGAACCGGTTTCTGGTACATTTGTGAACCGATTCCCTCTGATATACGAACCGGTTCCCCAAAATTGGCGTATCACTTACAAGTATGCTACATGCAAATTCTCTTTAAGTGCATGTGCGCAAGACGCAATGTAATGTGTACAATTAAGTGAAGGGAGACACAATAGAGTATAGGAGCCAATGACTTTACTGTAACTAAATACATATGCTAATAAAATGTAAAACGAAACCATGATCCTAAAACGAGCTCTGTGAGAAAAAAAAAAGAACAAAGAAGCAAACTCCATCAAAAAGAAGTATTTTAAGTATTTTATATAGAAAATATTAAAATTCATAATTAGCTTTCTAGTTTCTTACTACATACTTCGGAAAACTTTAAGCACACAAAAATTTTACAACGTACCACTAACCGAACTTGCGTACTGAAGCAAGCTATCCCTAACGAATCCAAATTTTTTAAATGGCGAATTGTGTACCCGAATTCGTACCGTGACCCACTACATATTGTGTATTGTGTTACCATGATTGGACACAACGTCTTGAGCCTAGGCGGAGCCTAGGTGGTTTTCTTGTTTTTTATTTTTTATAATTACTATAATTGGTAACCAATGTTATAGAAAGCTTAGGCGCCGGACTGCGCCCGGACGGATTTCTTTCTTCGTTTAAGTGGTGGTGGAGAAGATTCTGCTGAAGGTTAGAGGAGGTGTTCATGGTTGGAGGATAGAGGAGTTTGGAGGAGGTTTGAGGATGTGGAGGCGGCAATAGAGGAACTCACGATCAATGCCTAAAGGGTACAGTTCACATAAGCAGCCCACGCTCCCCTAAGCACTTCTAAAACCTACGTGGGTAGCCTAGATACCGTAGAGGCTTTTTAAAACATTATTTCCATGATATCTTAGGAAGATGATATTGAAAATCATAAACATGTTAGATAAATATACACTTGAAAAGGCTTCAGCATGTTAGAGAGGAGGAATAATGTGAGAACGAAAATGTCAATTGCAAATATCAACTTGCTCATACTCCTAGATCCACAAAACGTTAAAAGTGAAGAAAAACTACATCTAAAGAGATGGACTAAGTTGGATGTTCAACCCCTCACGTCTTTTCTTCTCAACCTTCCAAAATTCCATTTATTTTTCTCTTGCTCATCTAGTTAGCAGATGTTATGTTGTGTTTGGGAATTACCATAGTTTACCTATTAGAAATGGCTAGTAAAGTATCATCCATAAAATAAGCAACACACTTTTTTTCCTTACTCATATAGTTAGCAAAGTCTATTTTGGTGGGAATTACCATGAGTTACCCATTAGAAATAGCTAGTAAAAGATCATCCATAAGTAAGCACACAATAAATGTTAAAAAAGCATACCTCGATTTCACTCCAATCTCCTGACGTTCCCCAGCTAACTTGAGACTGCTTTGCCGTTTCAGTAATTACCCTGTTGTGGTGAAGATAAAGTAAAGTTGCTTGATCAGTACAGAAGGAGGACGCCAAATAACAAGTCAATATGTTTTATCCAGAGAACCAAAGAAATTAACAAAAAAAAACAGGGCAAAAACTACCAAAGGACTGCTAATATACTTGGCCGATTTTCCGATCATAAAAAAACACAAAAAGAAAGAAGGACATAATTGATAACTGTGGAGATGTATATTCTGATAACTTTTACGGGTTTTCCAATTACTTCTTCTCCTCTTTCATGATTCATCAATTTGAGGACAGCATTACATTGTCACCACTACTGTCCTCAACAATGAGCAGCCAGCCAGCCAGCCAGCAACATAAATGTACCGGACGATGAAATGATATGGATATATCAACATAAAAGCAAAATGAAAATCCCATACAACACACTTCATTAACACGAATTAAAATCGTGAAAAATAATCATGCGGTGTTCGTCATGGTATGTCATAGATGATTCGTGCAGAGTTGGAACGCATTAGAGTTTGGCATGTGTTAAGCCCCAGCTTCTTATTCTTTTTAGCTCAAGATACTTGCCGAGCAGCCAGCCAGCCAGCCAGCCAGCAACATAAATGTACCGGACGATGAAATGATATGGATATATCAACATAAAAGCAAAATGAAAATCCCATACAACACACTTCATTAACACGAATTAAAATCGTGAAAAATAATCATGCGGTGTTCGTCATGGTATGTCATAGATGATTCGTGCAGAGTTGGAACGCATTAGAGTTTGGCATGTGTTAAGCCCCAGCTTCTTATTCTTTTTAGCTCAAGATACTTGCCGAATCTCACCCGTCTAAAGATGACTTATATTAAGTGTCAAAGACCACCGCTGCAGCCCGTTTCGGGGGTGTTTGTTTTTGGTCATACGAGTGTCAATACTTGGCTGCCCAAGAAAAATAGGGATCGAATATGCTAATTCAGTATTCAGCTACACATGTTCGCTAATTCTCCCTACTGTTCAGCCTAGGATTTAAGGGTCTATCAGTAGAAACATCAAGTTGTGAAGTGCAAGCGAACCGCTTGAGCTCACTAGCATCCCTGATCAAAGGGATTTGAAGAGCATACAACATAAAATCCTTAAACTTCAAGGCACAAGATTCAATTTAGCATGTAATTTGTTCCTAACAAAAAAAAAATTATAAAGAAATTGGCACATAGAGTTTGGTAATTCAGCGATTAAGAGTGTGGCCGAGCTGGTACCTCTCGATCTGAGAGTAAATCTGCAGCCCGGATTCGGACCGGTCGCCCGAATTCGTCTTTTCCGAGTCATCGGGGGCGTAGCTGCAGACGACCGCTCTCCTCCTCAGCTGCGGGTCCTGCTTGTGGAAGAAACTGGGAATTCTAGGGTTGAAGGAGGCCCTGCTTCGATCTGCGGAGGGGAGACGAGGATGCAAGAGCAAGTTGCTGCTGCTGACGATGCTCATCGTGATCCTTGAATCCTGGGCGACGCCGAGTTAAGTGGGAACAAATATTGAAGAGATTATGTCAGTCTTGTGACATGATGTGTGCGGTGTCTGACCCGATGTCTACTCACCTCCCGGTTACCCAAGCCTGGTGTGGTCATATCGGATTCGATAGTTTATTGGACGAATTTTCTAAACCAACATATTTCCACGTTTTATCAAAAAAAAAAAAAAATATTTATTTTAAACTTATTTTCAAAAGCAGACATGGTTTCAACCATGAAACCAGGTCGGTTTTTTTAAAAAAAATTTAAAACTTCACGGGAGTTGAACTCCCGTGAAGTTTAGTAAATCTGCTAAACTTCACAGGAGTTCAACTCCCGTAAAGTTTCATAGTTCAAAAAAAAATTGAACTATGAAACTTCACGGGAGTTGAACTCCCGTGAAGTTTAGTAAAGCTGCTAAAGTTCACGGGAGTTCAACTCCCGTGAAGTTTCAGAAGTTTTTTCACAAAAACCGACCTGGTTTCAGCCTTGGCACTGAAACCAGATCGGTTTTTGCAAATAAGTTAAAAATAGGTTGTTTTTTGGGATTAAATGTTCAAATAGGGTGGTTTTAAAAATTTATTCATAGTTTATTTAGTAATAAATAAATATTTTTTAGTATTCGGTGCATAAAAGAATAAATTTTGACCGGAGGTATATCCGATTTGTTTGATTATTAAATATTAGTTTATATTGTTCTAATTCTAGATTATGATATTGTATTATTTTTACGTGCGCATAATTTTATAAATATTGCTATTTATAAATATTATATTAATAATTTATAAACTTACAATATGATAATTCTTATATTGAAATATCATAATAACAATTAACTAAAATATTATAGAAAATAAATAAGAAAATACTTTAAACATAGAGAGTGAAGTGTACACCTCATGGTTGAGGATGTTGTGACTTAACAAGTGTGCTATTAAGATATTCATGAACATTTAACATATATTCGTCTAATTAATGAACCAAATTTGAACAGTCTTATCCCTCTTTGATACGAATTTGAGGTCGGCCTCAAATTCGTGAAAATTAACTGAATACGAATATGAATACCATGGTATTCGGATTCGATTCAGTTCATTTCCACACGTACAAGGCCAAGGGTGTGTCATGACAAGATTAATACTTTGAGTAGTGATGACTTTGACTACACTTTTACAAACTATGCAAACACTGCTACACCTAAAGATTGTGGGCTTCTTTATTACTTGTAAAATCTAATGGCTATACAAGTAAAAGGACCTTTTATGTCACATGCTCTAGGAGTAGTTTTGAAATTATAGTTTAATTAGAATTATTTTAACAAGTTTGGTCAAATGTTGTTGCAATATCTAAGTTTTTAAGTTTGCTGCAAATCCAAGTATACCAAAGATACAGAAGTTGTGATTTCGTGCAACTCGAAGAGTAAGGGGGTGTTTGGTTCATTCATTTTATGGAAAAAGAATAGGATTTGGACCTGACAGTGGCAAAACCGTAAATAAATGATTCTTTATCGATCCTAATCTTGAGTTTGGTTAAAAAAAATTTATAGATTTCAAAATCCATAAAGTTGCAACAGTATGGTGTTTTTATGGAAACTCAAATCCTATTCAATTGGGAGGAATTGTGTCAAAAAGCTGACAACCCGTACTTTCTCCCTTTCTCTTTCCTTTTTCAGATTCTGCCTCTTCACGACAAACCCTAGATCTGGTTCGGCCGTTCTCGCTATTCTTCTCCCGCCTCTTCTCAATCTTCTCCGTGCCTCCTCTCAGGCTATTCTTCGATTTCCTTTTCGAAGACGAGGCTCAACCATTGTCAGCGGTGATACCTTCTTGAACTTGATCTAGGGTTCAGTGGGTTTGTTGGCTTCGACTTCTCCCGCAAATCTTCTACGCCTCATCCCAATCCTCTTCGCGCCTCTTCTAGAACCTTTCTTCGATTTCTTTTTCAAAGACGAGGCTCGATGCTTGTAATAATTAATTTTTTGGGGGGGGTTTTATATGAGAAACCCACGTGATATGGAATTTGAAAAAAAAAAAGAAAAACAAACAAACAAAACAAGTTTCTGATGGCCCATTTAAATGATCTAACAAGCTGTCATAAAGAGGCCCACATATGTTGGAATTAGACAAGAAAATTAATTAAAGGCCCAATAGTGTTAGCAAAACCTCAAAAGCCCATTTTCCTTTTTTTTTCCCCTTCGATTTTTTTTTCTTCCCTTTCACGTGTGAGGGAGTAAATTTTGGTCATTTTTTTTCTCCATTAATCCCTCAACTAATTCCCCTAATCTCTCCACTAAACAAATTCCTCCATAAATCTCTCCACACTAATTCTCTTACCTAAAATTTCGTTACTAAACTCCTCCATTTAATCCAGTACCCCTTCGTTTTCCCCTAACTAAAAAAAAAAATCTCACGAAAAAAAAATTTGAGACAGAAACCGGAAAAAAAAAGAGAAAGGAAAGAGAAAGCCGAGTTTTTGGATTTGGGATTCAGAGTCTCTTCCGACAAATCGGCAAGCATTCTTTTCCTTAATTATTAACATATTTTATCTTATTCATTCTTATTATGCAAGCATTTCTTATCCTTAAATTCTTTTATTGACCACCATAATTTTTTTCATAATCGGTAAGCATTTTTCTTAATTATCTCCATATTCAATTTGAATGATTGATTATTCTGTTCACAGTTGAATTCTTGTATATTTTTGCACATACAGGCACATATGCATAACGATCTTTATATATGAGTGGTTGTATGGACAGATTTATCAGGTTGGACCTGGCTACTAAAATATCTTTTGGAAAATCCTATGGGATGGGGCCAGAAAGGTTAAATATCAGGTTGGACCTGGCTACTAAAATATCTTTTGGAAAATCCTATGGGATGGGGCCAGAAAGGTTAAATATGAACAAATTTTCACTCTAGACCCAAACCGAGTTTTTATTATCAAAATCGACCGAATTTTTTTTTAATTATCAAAATCGACCCGTTTTATGCCACGTAAGCTTAAGCCCATTTCCTAATTAGTCGGGGTTGCCAACCCCGACTGTTTAGAAGTTGTTAAACCCCAATTAAATCAGGTTTAAGGCTTCTAATTGGGGTTTAACAACTCCTAAACAGTCGGGGTTGGCAACCCCGACTAATTAGAAAATGGGCTTAAGCTTACGTGGCATAAAACGGGTCGATTTAGGTAATTAAAAAAAATCGGTCGATTTTGGTAATAAAAACTCGGTTTGGGTCTACAGTGAAAAATTATTCGGTTAAATATTATGACATTTGTGAAGAGAGATGAAGGGAGAGAGGGACTGAGTATGCGAGGCGACATGGAGGGGACCCTAGTGAGCCTTGCAAGGTTAATTGTTATTTAAGAGAGGAATAGCTTCAGCTTAAAAACATGTGAACGTGCTGGTGATGAAGGATTCTGAATGGAGTAATTAAAAGAGAATGACTTTAATTGGAAAACATTTAATTGGATTGTGATAGTGGATTAAGCACGTGGCTTTGAATTTGGGTCATTAATATCGAGGATTTAAATCGATGCTTACAAAAAAAAGTAATTTTGAGTCAATATTAATTCTCCCTCTTTAGATCTAGTTTCCTTGTTAAATTTGACGTGCACTTTCTTCAACTTGTACTCTATTATGGCCACTAGATTAGTTCATTAACCAGGATTAGTATTATTAATGATTTGATATGATCACCACACCTCCCCTCCCATTGATTTTTCCTCTTGACCTCTTACCTGCGTGAAATAAAGCATTTGTCTCTTCATTTGTTTATTTAGGCTATATACTTAAGTGCCTGCTGCTTTCATTTTTGCTTGCATTCTAATTAATGAGACAACTTTAAGTGTTATTATTTATGGAGGATTCAACAAAATGGATACAACTATTGTTTATCTTTTGTGGTCTCAAACATTATAAGTGACGATGCAAAACCATTGAATCTCCTTGTGGATAATTTAACAATGAGAAGGAATTTACTATAAAGTGGAGAGTTCATGTTTTATGGATATTGTGCCATAGGAACTCAAGTACCTAAATAGGCAAGACTGGTCTGATATTGATAACGGAGATCACCTGAAATGTCGTGATTAGATTTATACGTATCGTACTTATCTTGTTTGATTCTGTGTTTGACATGCATGACGTTACAGAAAAATTATTGTTTGATCACCTAGTTGTCATCCAATAGGAGAGACTGTGCATGAAGACGACTCCTGTTAAAATATGATTTATAAGCGTGCTTTCATAGCATGGCTATGCTCTCGATATCGACATCCCGATATGAGATTTTTCCTTGGCTATTACTATTATAGCATCGACTAGACGATGCACCTATCTTGATTTGGACATGTTCTGGGTCACGGTTATTTTCATAGTTTTACAGAAGTCGTTCCACGGTAATACTGCGGTTAGTGCACAACATTTCATACACAGTCACTAAAAATGTAATTGACAAACATGGGGTTTATAAAGGGGAATTAGACGGAGAATATAACATGTATATAAACGGGCATATGCGCATTCCTGATATCCTGAGTTATATATACATGGGCCAAAGGGCCAATTCCTGACTTGAAGCCGTGTTCCAGGGACGGTTTATGGGGAACCGATTTATATACATGAAAATATTCTTCTCTAATTCAAATAACATGTAAAATAAGAATAATGTGCTTACAGGCTTTGTGATAGTTTTGGCATGCACTACATGTCCTGGATGAGGTTTTGATGATGTATATTTGTATTGTTGTGTATAGAATTTTGGGAGTTAAAATTTAGAGATTTACAATTTGAGATATATGGTATATACGAGGGTTTCCTTGTTTGGATTATTCCCTCGACGTACTCATCTCTCATGTTGTGGGTTTCTAAATCTTACCTTCCTTTAGCACGTATTTGATATCCATGTTTAGAAACTTCCTTTATCATCTTTAATTGAGTTTTCATCGTATTTTGGTTTATAAGATAGGCATTTTCTTTTATCACTGAAAATTTAGAATTTATCTTTCATTTATATCTACCACTTATACTTACACGCGCATAATTTTCTCATTTTACATGCTTGCT